TCTCTCTCTCTCTCTCTCTCTCTCTCTCTCTCTCTCTCTCTCTCTCTGTTTTTCGCTCGTTGATATTGGGCATGGAAATCGAATTGTGTGAATGACAGTGTGTATATGCATGTGCATTACTGCGCTGAATTGCTGTTTGTTTCGCTCACTTATATTGTCAATTTCTAACCGCAAACAATGTGTGTCATATAAACAATTGATAACACGCGACATAGACCAGAAATATGCACAGCACACACACACACACAACTACATCGCGTACGCATTTTCAATTGCCATACGTATAGATTTTGTTGTCGTACTACGTTTCCGTTTTACTACACAGGCACAAAACCATCATCCGATATGCGATTCGAATCGAATGCTGTTTACGATTTGATGTGTACATCTGTGATAAATGTGATATCTTATTAAATTTAATTAACTGTATCAATCGAACAATGATACAAGCAGATTTTGTTTTCTTCTGTTCAACCATTCCTACACCCCGCATCAGGCACAACAACGACTAAATCTCTTTTCTATTCAGAATAAATAGCAACAGTAACGCGATCAACGAACGAAAAACAAATGTGTAATTCAAATTGCTCTTTTTATCATTTCACGCTAACTAATGACCTATTAATTATTGATAATCTATGTGGAATTCTTCCTATACGGTGTAGGCTACACCTAGCCCGATATTTATCAGTCAAAAGAGGTGGATTAGCTGTTTCTTTCAGTCGTTGCATAAGGAGAAATTTGAATTTGTTTCATTTTAAAAAAAATTGACAGATTTTTTCGGGTCTAAAATATGTGTCCATCTGCCGTTTTGTGAGAACTTATGTTTCTCCTCAATCGAATGTTCCTCTTTGAATAAAATCGTGAACGACATAAAATTAAACGAAGGGAAAGATTTAAATGTCGTAAATTGTTGTTGTTTGACGGCGGTCAATAAATTATATCGGCTTTCAACAACACCGCTTCTATTGACCAAGGGAGTCGAAAAACCGTTTCACTTCTGTTGTGTTCACATCTCATGTAAACTATTGCAACGCTCGCCTTGTCTGAGCCACAGAACATGTTAGTTGCTTGTTCCGAATCAAAGAATGTTTCAAGTTGCTTGTTCTTAGTTGAATCTGTTCCTTCTTTTCAGTTGTTTGTTCTTCTTCGCAGTCACCGAACATCGCTTTGACTGATCGTTTAACTTGATTACTTAATCAAAGCGAAGCGCCAAATCACAGAAGATCAAATAAATTCATTAATTTAAATGAATCGGTTTTTTTGAAGAGAGAAACGGCTTCAAATACATAAAAAAATACGTATGTACTGCCTCAAATAGTCCCAATGAATATTGAATGAAAAATCGATGAGAATTGTAATGGGATTGATTGTAGTTTTGAATTTGAGGAAAAATAAAGAGAAATACACGAAAATCGGTGGTATCTCGAGGTTTGGTCAACAGCTCATCGCTACGAAAGTGTCATAAACTGCTCTCAGGCACTGTCAAAAACATTGAAAAGTGAATTCAGTTCAATTCGTCGATGAAATCGAACACTTAACACCGTTGCCGTTATCATTCGGATGGGGTCTGTCACCGTAGACACCGAAATTCATTATGGCATAGCATTACGGAGCAGCTAATTATCCATTGCATAAAACTAATGCGTTCGTTCGAGTTTGGAATATCTTTATCTCCTTTGACGATGCCGTTGCTGCCAATAAAAATTGACTCGCGCGCGCGTCGTACACACACACACACACACACAGAGAGAGAGAGAGAGAGAGAGAGAGAGAGAGAGAGAGAGAGAGAAAATCATTCGTCTGTTCATGTCAAGCACAATATTTTGAAAAGCGGTGATAACATGCAATTTTCACATTGGCATGCGAAAATGCGTTACACTTCATCACCGCAATAATCGACGAACCAATGAATACACTAATTCAAGTCAATCGAAATAAATTATATAGTCGCAGAGAGCGAGAGAGTCGGGCGAGCGAGGTCTAGGCGATTATTTAACGATATATTCACTTGATTCTTTATCTCTGTTTCGTGATCGTTTACTCTTGCGACGATGGAATTAGTTCTTTTCTTTCTTGAGAGATCTCATATTCTAATTATTTCCGACAGAGCGAAAGAAAAAAAAAACACGAAATCAATTAAATTGATTGATACTGGACAGATTGAAATCTTAACAAGGGAGAACGATGTTTTTTTTCTATCGTTTTTCGTTTTTTTTTTTCTCCGATATGAGAAAGAAAATTTTTTATTTGTTTCGATGTGAAGAAGAATGAGAAAAAAAAACTAAGTTAAGAAATGTCATATACGAACCGAAAATTCGGGACGAATGTTTCTTTAGCTGTGATTCCATTGAATTGTATCCTTCGTTCAATCTCGCCATCGGACAAGTAATTTGTTATTAGGAAATTTGGATGATCACTATCACTGCTTGCTATGCTTTGACTGTCGTCTGCAATAACGGGCGACACTGACGCAGATCGATCATCGTTGTTTGTGTCGTCGTCGTCGTCATTTTTTCGCTGAAACATTGCATTTGTTTCACTTTTATCACTATGGTCGATGATGTCGTCATCGTTTATCGTACTGATTAACAACTGTTTGCTGTTTGCCGTTAATTTACGTATATTATTGCTGAATATTGAATTGCCATTGTTATTGATTATTGTTTGATCAGCTAAATTTGGTACACTTAAACACAAATCTAAGATTGTTAACACTATAAACGCTATGCTAGTATATTTGAATCGTAAATGCATTTTTGATGTTGCTTTTGTAATTGGTTTTTTTTCTGTTCTGTATTCGAAATATTATGATCGTATTGTCTTTTTTATTAGCGATTTCTTATCGATATTGTCTGTTGTATCAAATTTCACTCGCGTTTGTTATTTTATCACACTGTTGTTATTGTCGGGTATTTTTCTTTTCGATCAAAAATTTTCTATAATGATTCGGTTATCGCAGTTTGATTGTGTGTTTGGCTTCTTTTCGTGGAAATTTCATGTCAATTATTTTTCACAATGTGTGCACCACGCAAACACACATCGAAACACACCACAGCACAGTCGTTCGTCTATTTTCGTCAACCAACCACGGTTTTATATTTATTCAACAATTTTTTATGTTTTGAAAATGCCGGTAGCACCTGAAAACAACACAGAAAGAAAGAGAAAAAAAAACGATGAGAAATGTTAAGAAAGAAAAAAATGATCGTTTAGATTAGAATCGGTGGGCGAATAAATTGCAATTTGTCAAGGTTTTTATGATCATAATCATCATGAATTTAATTATTGTTCTCGCTCTCTCTCTCTCTCTCTCTCTCTCGCGTTTTATCGAACAACTTGTTCTATGTTGTTACCCACTTTTGATTTCTGGTATTACAACTGACACTGAAAATATTTCTTTGAACACGCAGAAAAATCGGTTAACGGTTAATTATCAATTCTGCTCGAAGCAATTTTTCACTATCAGCGGATTTTTACAAATTTAAATGAAAAAAATTGGATTTTATCCATAAAAAAATGTTTTCATTTTTTTTTTCGTAAAAAATTACCAGAAAAAAAACAATTTTTTTCTACCAAGAACCAAGCTCAAACTGTTATATTTCAAAAATTTCTTCAGTAAAATTATTAGATCATTTCAAATTTTCAAACGAAAATTACTTGAATGAAAACCATCTCAGAAGGTTGAACCAGAACAAAAGGATCGTAAAACTTGAAAAGAAAAATGAATTTACCGATGAAATGATCTGATCGAATCGATGCGAAATGCGAAAAAAGGAAGAACTCTTTGATTTGTCGGTTTTGTAACGGAAGAAAATTTATTGTGCGACTACTTATGTTGGCAGCTGAAGAGCAAATAATCTTACAGCGTCAGTTTGGTTGAGGCAACAGCAACAGCAACGGCAACGGCAACATCAGCAGCGCTTTTTGTAACACACATAGTGGTTTGGCTGTTGTTGTTGTTGCTGCTGTTGTATTGAGTGTGTGTTGTGTTATGTTCGTTAGCCTGTAGAGAGCAATGTACATCCGCGAGGCACTGAATCAGTCAGTGGCTATGAGCCACAGCGAGCACACACGATATATATGTATCATTGACATTGCACATATATCTGAACGACCACGTTCACATACATATCACAACAAATACACGCACGCACCGCACGTCTCACATGTAATTCTCTCTTTCTCTGTGTGTCAACACACGGCTGTCTAATTCATACCTCAACGATGAGCCAAAACTAACGAGAAGCATATATTCTTTGGCAAACACCAAAACATCATACAATTGTTCGATATTTGATTGTTCATTTCGGTGCGAAAAGAATGACCGTTTGTGTGTGAGTGAATCGTTCGATCAAGCCATGCTAAATGTGCCGATATTTGTTTGATGTGTGTGTGTGTGTGTGCCGGGGCGCTATGCGAAAAAAGAAATCGCATACACTTGCGAATAGATCGTCCGGCCGCGCCGACACAAAAATGTAGATGCGTTCACTTTTGTCAGCACAGCGCAAATGTAGCGGCCTTTTTTATTTGGTCTTCAGCCCGGATTCGTTGGCATTTGCTTTTTTTTCTCTATCGTTTTCACTGAGCACCTTTGGTATGTGAAACGAATGTGTGCGCGCAGTGCGCACGCGAGCGTCGCTGTATTCATTACATCGATACAAACCTTTCAATGACACGTTACGATCAACTTGCACCAAATGATTCATCTCACTCGTTCGGATAAGTGTTTTTTTTTCGCATCGAATTCACACTGAACGAAATTTTTTTGTTGTAACAACGACACACAACAGCCGTAGCGTATCACTTTCGATATGCATTTGCCAAGCCCACTGCAATTAGCTGAAGCGAGTTTTTTTTCACTTTGTCGCCGCCGTTGACGTCGTCGTAGTTGTCATTATTCATGTTCGGCAGAGCTCTGAATGATTTCAATGTCATCGATTTCGTGTCCTCGCAACCAATTTCACTGGCTTTTTCCTCTTCCGTACTAGAATGGACAAATTGCACAAGGGCTGACATTTTAATGGCATTGCCGGCTAGTCAATTGACTTCTCCTGGCATTGTTTGCGTGGAAAAAGTTTTCACAATTTGATTTCTGTTTCTTACAGGTAGTTTATCTCTTTCTAAAGTTTTTTTTTTCTCTGCTTAATACCTCTTGTAAAGCAAACATTTTCAATGGAAAAATAATTTCCAAAAAAATCCGCATTCCTCACGTTCCTAACCTTTTTTTGCCATTAAAGATGCCGATCATCTACCTGATATGTTTTGTTTGAACCTTCGTTGTTCCGAAAACGAACTTTCTTCGAATTTATCCCAAAAACCTACCTTTTTTTCTCCGTTTCAATTTTTTATCAACCGTCCTCAACACTTGACTTGTTTTATGTGCGTTTTTTTTTCTTCGCTTTGTTTGAAAAATACAAACCGTCTCCATCCTCCATTGAATTAGTGTTTATCATCGTGAAAAAAAATCCGAACATCGTCATTGCCATGGAGCGATTTTTTACACTCGATTTTAAACTGCAGTTTCAAGGAAGCAGCAATTGCATTTCTTACCTTGTGTACAAGAAAAAGAAAGCTGTTCCTGATGCTCATATTCCGAGAGAGAGAGAGAGAGAGAGAGAGAGAGAGAAAGAGAGAGAAATATTCCGAAGCCTGTCGCATAAAACTTCGAAGAAAATAAACACGAATTCTGGCGTGTATGTACATTTTTTTCTTCTGTGAATGTTCGATTTTTCGCAAAACATTAAAGGCATTAAATAACCCCATCGTTATCTGTTCACACAGGATAATGTGCAAGCGCATTTGTGTCTGGCTCGAGTGAAATCACATGGATTAATGTGCTTAACACGTTTAGAATTCGTGCACGTAAACAATTGATGCGTTGCACATTTATTTTACGAGGGCTAAAATAAATGGTGCGTACAGAGTGAGCGAGCGAGCAAGAGAGCGAGAGAGTGAGGCGGTGAGAGAGAAAGAGAGAGATTCCTCGCTAAGATAGATTCGGCCAATAATATGGCGACTATAAAATAATTTTCCAATGATACACGGCCATAGATGTATGGATATGTGTTGTGATTGTGGATTTTGGCTTTAAAAATTCTGCATACGTCATCAATATCATTTCTATCGTGGTCATTTTACCGATTGCTAACTCTCCACCACATCGCCGTAACAATATATCGTAATTATCCCAACAACATTTCAAAATTGCCAAATCGCAATATTGTCGGCCATTGATTTAGGGTATCAAATATCATATTTTTCGCTCTTAATTGATTGCTATAACATTTACGCGCAATTTTTTTGATGAGCTATCTTTTGCAGACGTGAAAAAAAATTACCGTTTGATTATATCAACAGACATGCAATTGAAGCAAATCATTATTTCACGCCAATCGCAAAAAACAATTCGCAGTTCACAGTTGAGGCATTTTCTTCATTATCGAACATTTGGTGGTGTAGTAAATAAATATATGGATTTGTTTTTTTTAATTTCCGCCGAAAATAAACAATAAACCAAATTATTATGAACGTTCAAAGGATGCTGAAATGTGAGTCCTAGGGCAAACAGTTGAGGCGAAGAAGAGTCAAGTTTACAATGTTAACGTAACATCTGCTTCGTTTTGGCATATTTTTGAATGAAAATGTTATCTTTTTTTAAAGCAGATTCAATTTGTTTTACCATTTCGCACTTCATATTACTTTTTATTTCATTATTAATGAACCGAATTTCGAAGAAATTCGGTGTAAATTTTTTGAAAATAAAGAGAGGATTTGATCGACCGGATATAAAAAAAAATGCGATTATGATAGAAAATCCGATTTAATGACAGATAAAGTGATATTTTTCAGTTGAAAAATTATTTCGACTATTTCAGATGACAGTAACTACTTCCAAAAACAGAAACAATTTGGCACAATGAAAAGTTTTACTGAAACAGGAGAAAATGTACAATGAAAGTCTCCTTTCGTAGAAGATTTGAAATCAGAAATATTTCTTTGAGATCATACCAATTATACAGTAAACATTGCTATGCAAATTGTAATACATTGAAATGCAATATCCTGAATACTTTTTGAAATAGTAACGAAATGATCCGCTGAGAATAAAACAGCTTATTGGAACTGGTCTTCGAACAAAGCGATACACATCGTTTTTTCTACTTTATGTAGAAACCCACCGATTCAATCAACCAATCATAAAGCTCAATAACACCTTTTCGACGTCGTTTTTAATTTGTATGTTAAGTTCCGACGATTTAAACGTATTTTTAATCCTGATGACTCAATTTGAAGTAAATTGCACTTATCCCATTTACTTCAGCGCCATAAATCTGCCTTATATGTGAATTGTACTTAAAATAGAATTTGTGTGAAAGTGAAAACTTCTAGAAAACATCATAAAATATATATGCTTTAATAATGTCCCAACTATTGAGTAAGTCTTAATCATTTTAAAATATACATTTTTTATTTCAAAATATCTCTTTTCATAATATTTCTTCATTAGGCTCAGCATAAGTTCATTCTAAATCAAAAACTTCTTTTTTTTCATTGTAGAATTGAAAATCCATTTTATCTTTATCAAAAAATGTGAAAAGTTCTGGGATTACAAAGGAAAGGCCAGATTTTTATCCACTTTCATTTAAACCATAGGTCGTTCACGATACCATTGTATCATCAAGCATTCCCCTTGCTGTAAAAATGCGACTGAAAAATATGGCCGGTTTGGTTTTTTTTATCACATGTGAGCCGGAAATTGCAAGAGATTATTTCAAAACGGTCCCTTTATTTCAAATTTGTTTGGGTCAAGAAAGTGTGAAATGCACTTTGTCTGAACTGTTCAAAATGTGTCATTTCAACACACATTTTCAGATACTATTATGTTGAAGCATTTTTAATGAAACTGAGCTCACTTGATGCGTTCATTATGAAATAGCACATTTTGTAAAACTTGATCTGCTGTGAATTTCAAAGAGCGACGAATGTTGACCGAAAAAAAGAACCGTCATGGGATTCCAACTGCTTTGCTCTTTGTTCGATGTTTTTGGCGAAAGAAGTGAACTTTTCACTTTGAGCCGAGCATTTCTCTCTCGAAATAATTGTTGTTTGCATTCAATCGTGTGTCTTTCAGAACGTGGCGTTAGGATGATCTCTTTAAGAGGACAACGTGCCATTTATCTCGTACAATAATTTCACATGAAGGAATGCAACAAATTATTATTCTTCACCACATCCCGCAAAGAACGTTACAACATTGACATATTTTCTTTGTGTCACAAACTGAAATTCCAAATATTTTTTTTCTTGAATCTGCAATTAAGAGATTTTTGTCCATTTTCAGGTGTAAATAGCTTCGTATGAAAGTAGACAACTCAATGCTATTCTAAAACCGCTTCTTATTATTCTATTCTGGTGAACAGAATTTCTTTATTGAGAACAAGTATTTCTAATGCACACACGCACAACAACAAAAAAAAAAAACAAATCTCAACAAGTATTTCAAGTCTTTTATTTCAAAATTGAGAGTCTCAATACAGTTGTCAAATATTATATTCGACAAATAAATATCAGTGTGACAAAGAAGAGTATTCTCTGCGAACAAACAAATAGACGAAAAAAAGACGTAACAACGAAACAATAGAAGTCACATCGTCTTCGGATGACCAATTGCTACCGACTGAGATCGCTTCATGTGAAACACAACGTAAAAACTATCGTGTATATATATTTATTTAATTGGTATTGTTTATTTTTCTGAATAATAATCACATCGGCATTCGGTCGAAGAGCGAAAAACATTGACAGAGATAGAGATAGAGATAGAGAGAGAGAGAGAGAGAGAGAGAGAGAGAGAGAGAGAGAGAGAGAGAGAGAGAGAGAGAGAGAGAGTGTGGTATGGTTTGCACGGTGTGTGTTCGGGCTTGTTTTGGTTTTGGTTACGGCGCGTAGACAGAAGAAAGTTTCTTACTGAAATATTTTGGCATACATATAAATGCGAGTCTCGTTACTCTTGTATTGAATGACGAGCGAAGCGAAATAAAAAAAAACAAGCGGTGCTCACTACTAGAATATTAAATGTGCTTGGTTTGCACACATAGAATCCAGTAAGATGTTTGTTTACAATTGGAGAAATGTGCTCTATTCATCGTCAGCTGCGTGCAGAAAAGTTTTTTTTCCTCCTTCTTCTGCTTCAGTCTTGCGTTTTCTAAATGGTGATGGATAGGTTTATTCATTTGGTTGTATTTTGCCGGTATTTTTTTGTTCAAGAATATTGCGTGTGTTTTGCTTGTATCGGAACATCATTTCAAATACATGAATAATAAAATATACATGTAGAATTTCTGTGTTTGCTGTTGTTGTTGTATGAATTGGGTCCATTCAGTTGTTATGCTCTCTTTTTTTTCATGTATGAGGCCAAAATAAAACAGACAGAGTCATGAATGTGAGACACACGCGTGTTGTGAATATCAACACATACTCTCTCTATCGAACACATAAAAGCATAATAATATATATGTATATATTATATATTGCATGTATAAGGCTCAACATAAATATACTATATGCACGAGAGAGAGAGAGGGAGAGTAAGTGAGTGAGTGAAAACGAACAATTTTACCCCAACATCGGCTCAATTACTACGACAACTACCAAAAAAGAACACGAGCGTAAAAGCGTGGCTGTCAAGAAAATACCATAACAAGATGGGCATGCATGCTGAATTGCAGAGAGCGAGAGAACGCGTGAACTTACACCGATTTCCTATGAGCAACGCATATATATATACATACATGTGTGATGACAAAACCAGTGGAATACCGAACGTAGGGTGTAACGAACAATACACACACATATAATTCATAGTCAGCGCGGACAATTAATACAAACAAATGCGTATGGAAAATGTATATGAATTTCATACGGTTTTCTTTGATAAAATGTTGCATTTTATTCGTAGAAACCTTGTTTATTCAATATATTTCCTTTCAATCGCGAATTTTCGACTTTCGAATCTTTTTCTCTTTTGAAGCAAACATTTGCTTGGCATTCGTTAGATTCTGTCATCAGCGAAGTAGCCGGTTGACATGTTGGAAATGTGAATCATATCGTGACGACCTACGTCGGGAGTTTACTACACACAAATATCTGGTACCTTACCCATATTGGTGCAAGTAAATATCATGATTTGGCCTAAACCATGAAAATATACACATGTAATGTTCCGATTCGATTGTTGTGTTCTGTGTGTGTTTTTTTTCTGCTGCTGCTGCTGCTCTCTCTCGCTCCCAAGGTGTCAAGTTGTGATCAACATGTGTGTTTTCCCGACACAGAATTTTATTCACATACATCAAAATGTTATGTTGCATTTGTGTGGTCGGTCGGTGGAATTGGCGCCAAAAATCAGGACACATAGTGATAGGCGAAACATATACAAATGATAAGTCGATGTGAACGGATGGACTCGGTTTGTGTCATCTCAACGAGAAACATTGACCGATTCGATTCGATCTCTGTGCGATTACTTTTGGACGAAAGGACATAGGGCATAGTCATTATGTTATTTTCTTTTATTTTGTCGGTGAACTGATGATAGTTATTTCATCGAAAAAATTTCTTGAACTCATTTGGCTGGAAAATGTCATTTACTTATTTAAAATGTCCAAAGAAAAAATCATGTCATTAGTCTGTAGTTAAAATTTTGACTCACCAAAAATGGAATTTTTCTCAATTTTATTTCGATTTATTCTTCACTCGTTAAATCCTCTCGTAAATACATCTTAATTTTTCTGCAAAAAAAAAATGCATACTCATTACCAAACCCAAAACATATTCATTAAAAACCGACCACAATCGTAAACGTCAGCCATAAAATGGTAAACAGCAGCCAAAATCCATTATGGGCGAGACAGTGGTGTAGTCGGTGCAGCATAAGAGCTGAGCATGCATGTCATGCATCGACACATGCACCTTGCTATCTGACAGCATGATATGATCAACGCATTTTTCAATACAAAAACAACATTGACGGATAGAGAGCGAGAAATACATAAATATATGAAGAAAAAAAAACCAACATCAACATCAACAACAAATAGAGAAATAGTCAACAACAACATATACGCGCGAAATGCCGATTTAGTGGTGGTTGTTGTGATTTTTCACAACACTCTATTTTCCGGCGATGATATTGTGGTTGACTTTTGTTTGCCACACACTCATTTTCTCTCGCACACACAATCCACACGGGTGTGTATCACACACGCATATACCCGGCTAGACAACAGACCATTCATCCATGCACACACACACACACACTCACTCACTCTCACACACTCGACAACGCATACTAACAATTGGCCTGTTGATTTGAGATGAAAAGCATTTTCTTGAAAATATGTGCATGCAACAGCTCGTACGATACGTACATAGTGCGTTTGAATAGAAGAAGAACAACAAAACACACAGTCGGCAACTATACAAATGGAAACGGAGAGACGAAAGGAACACATGCAAATACTTGAACAGAGAATGAAAGCATACATAGATAGATATGTACACATATGTATAAAATCGGTGAGACCTCCAAATCCTATATTATTCTGGAAGTGTTGCGATGTGAGAATAGAACCAAACTGAGACAGAAATGAAAATAAAAACAAAAACAGTTTGAAGTTTACAGTAGTGGATGAAGGAGCAGCAGCAGCAGCAGCAGCAGCAGCCGAACCAACTACAACAATACTCAAAATATAGAGAGAAATAAAAGTAAATATAATACATAAATCGAGGAAGAGAGAAGCACCGAGTCTGAGATTGTCTCTTTTTCAGTTTTTGTATGTCTCATTTTGATTCGGCATGTGTATCGGCACAACACACAATACGCAGCAAGAAAAAAAAGAATACACAAAATGTTCCTTCATTTTATGCTCATACATCAATCCATTTCTCGTAGATATACATGAGAAAGACCATCAATGTTTTGTGCCACAACAAAACATACATATATGCGAATCCAAAGTAGTCGTCGGACACAGCGAATAGAGAGTCGAACCGATATGTGTTGATATAGTTTTCAAAACAAAAATATACATTCTTCATCGGATAGGATTGGTACCGATTCAAAAACGAATGCGGCGCTGTGTATTTAATCGGTATTTGCATTTCAGGCAGTTTTGTTGTTGAATTGTTTTTCTCCTGCTCGTGTACTCCTCATCCATCGATTGATGATGATTAAGTGCTAATTTCTTTTAAAGAAAATATTTTTTTTTTCTTCTTCCGTGCGGCGTCATCAATTCTTTTTTTTTCAAACTGGAAATCGGGAAGAATTGGCATTTTTGTTGTTTGGGCAATATTTCCCATGATTTGATGGAAATGTCAATAATTCATACACCGAATTACATGCATTTCAATTTTTATGAATGGACGAATGCCGCTAAATTTTCTTTTCATTGTATTGCTTATGAGCAATACATGGGCTGTTGCGGCTTCAATCGGCATTCGGAAGGTGTTTTTGAATGAGTTAGAGGCGAAAACATAAAATTTGGTGAATTTGTATTGTGAAAATGCGTGAAATACTACTGTCACTTCCAATATTATTGAAAGCGCGTTGAATTGAAATTTCTACCACTAGACTGTGTTGGTGTCGTGGTTGTCAGCGCCAAAACAAACACATTTACGACCGGAAACACGTAAGTGTATTTGAAACACACTGCGTTTCTATAATTCAGACACACATCGGGCCACACTACTACTACGACGCCACCACCATGTATGCCATCATCAGAGAGATGGTTGATGTATTGTTGTCTCGTGTAGCCAAGCGTACCCAAGCCATTAAACGGATGTCGGTGCAAGTGAGACAAATGGATACGGCGTGATAAGTCGGCTTGTGTGTGTATATACGGTGTAAAACGAAGCACCTCGTAATCATACAACCGACGAATGAGACGATATTGTCAGTTCCCCTCGACTTCGTGTGTATACGTTTCCAACTTCGGCTATAAGCGACGAAATAGAATTTTTATATTGGCCACTCAAACATCCACGTCCGCTCTCTCTCTCTCTCTCTCTCTCTCTCTCACTAACACATACACACATACACATACACGTACACACCCATACACGCAAGCAAAACACGAACACGAACACGAAAAAACCGACGACAACGAACACGAAGCCCAACATCGTATAGAGTGAAAAAAAGTAAAACGTAGCACACAAAGACGTGAGGTTCAAGTAAAGCATTCATACATATTTCGTGTCAGTATTCAGTCACACTTGCTCTAACAAAGGTCACTAACACCAATACGCCGCCGTTCCGCCGAAAATAAAATAAAAATAAAAATACAGCAAAAAAAAGAAGAGGAAAAAAACCTACAACGAAATACGCAAACGAGCGAGAAGCGAAGAAGAAAAAAAAAATACCCAAACGGCAAAAAGGCGAATTAAAAAAAAGAAAAGAAGCAAATAACACACAACACGAAGGAAGAAAATAACGCAGAAGTAATCACAAATAAAGTAGTGAATATAGCAAACCAACGCAGAACTCTGACGACCAACAACTACAGAAAAGTGAGCGTTTTGAAATTTAATACGTACGCATTTTAGGCATTTTTCACAACCAAAGAGAGAAAACGAAGGAATTTTTTTTGATTTCTTCGCTCATACTATTATATAAATGCCAAACAACAACGCAGAAAATAAATAAAAAGAAAATTCGACACGGAAAATAGGCGATATATTTTTCGGAAAAAAAAGGGGGAAAATAAATACAAAAAAATATTAATTTCTCTCGATTGAAGAGCAGAAAAAAAGCGACAAAATTCATTTCAATCAAAAAATTGTGTGTAAAACCAACGAACAAAAATATGAACGAAACGAAACTTTAAACGCGAACCGAAAAATTTAAGCAACTTGAATAATTGAATTTGTGCAGATATTTTGTCTTTGATTTTTTTTTCGCTCTATTATTTATTTTCTGCTTCTTTGCTGCCGCTGCCATCACTCTCTTACAGTTTTTATAGCATATTTATATATATATGTATAAACCCATATCTATATATACATGTACGTATACCATCAAGTATAGTATAGCTGTGCTCTCTCACTCACTGCTCTCCGTCGCTGTGCTTCGCTACTCTACGCTTACATTCATTCGTTCGTGTGTGCTGTGAATACGATTTTCGTCTGCCTGTGAATATTTTCAATTTATACCAACATTATTAAAAATGGCGTCGCTTCATTGGAACTTTGTGTAAATCGTGTGTACCAATTAAATGTGTAAAATGTTTGATTTTTTTTTTCATATATATCGATATATACAAGTATATATATATATACATATTTCGTTCATAAACGCGGTGGATCGTTGTTATTTTTAGTCAATTAATCGGCTACCATAAAAAAAAGTTAAATAAAATAGATAAAAGCGAAATATTTCGGTTTCGTCGAACAATTCCGTTGAGAAAGGAAAAAAAACTGAACAAAATTAAGGGCAGAGCGAAAAGAAAGAAATGTAATTCGAAGAGATTTTTAAATTTTCGGTGCAATTTTACAGAGATTGATAGAGTTGTTCTGGTTCTGGTTTGAATGCGAAAACGATATTTGGTCGACAGACACAGAACTATCAATTGCAAAATGGAAAGAATCTCATTTGAAGTACCCCCACGAATGTGAACGTGTGCGTGTGTGTTTTTAAAAGTATAATTGCCTAAATCTTCTATGTATTCAAATGTATTTGTTTTATTTTTTGCGATTGATGAGAATAAGGCATAAACATTTCGATACAGTCGGCCCGACACAGAAGTGGCACAGAAGAAAAAAATTATGCCAAATAATGCCCGAAAATCATGAAATATTTTTAGTTTTTTTCTTCATTCTGTTTCGTTTGTTCGACGTGTTTTTTCCTCTTTTGCATCGCATCCAAACTGGAAGTTGAAAGTATTTCGAGTTAGCGTGCATAATCGAACGGGGAGAAAATCATAATTTTGGTTTTACTTCAAAAATGCATTATAAAATCATCGTCTGAATAGAAAACTAACGCGCTACAAACGACAAGTATTCAATGGTCTGTGCCGTGTATAATGCCATATTGTGGCACAGAATTTCGTACGAAATTCCAATTCATAATCATTCAAGTGACCATTATCAGTATACATATAGGGAGTTTTTTTCCCTTTGTATTTCGTCAAGTAGTATCAAAACGTCGCTTCACGATGAAGCGCAATATATTTGTCACATAGATAATCATTTATTGTTTTCGATTTCGAGAGAGCGAGAGACATCGACGACGAATATAATACACGAAAAAACGAAGAAATTTTTTTTAATTTCAGTTTGAAAGGAATTCATGTCGTTCGGTTTGTTCATTCGGTATTCAATTCTCTTCTCATTCTCTCTCTCTTTTTCTCTTTCTCTCATGCTCGTGTCGCCAGCTTGTTCGTTCTCTCTGTGTAGTATTTCTCCTGGCTTTCGGTCGGTACACGTATTAGACACGATTCGTATAAGTTTAAATTTCTGCTGCTGCTGCTGCTGCTGCTAGGGTCTAGCTGTGTGCGCGCTGTGTGTGCATAAGAGCCGCCATACTATATTTTTTTTCTTCTGCCTCTCTTCGGTACCAGCCATCATTTCGATGTGTACAGTTTGACTCTCTCTGTGTGTATCGTTCGGTGTGTGCGCGTCTGTGTGTCGTCAATATAAGAGCGTCTGTTCGGTGTATGCGTGCCGTATACACACGCCAATCTATGTATATACATAGATAGATTTATACTTATTTATTTTCAAATCATATTAATTTCGATTTCAATTTGAATGTCGTTCAAATTTGATTCATGAAAATGAGAATGATACACTGAAAAAAACAAAACAAAACCGAAGAAAATTAAATAAAAACACACACGAAAAATTGCGATTTAATGAAATGAGTAATAATTTTTCGACGAAATTTTTTCTTCAAACAAAACGCTTTGCATTTAATTGCCATAGTGGTTTTTATTTTCTGTTCTTCGGCTTGTGTCTAATGGCTTTTGTATTTTGTTCCATTTTGTGTGTTAACGTTGAGCACCTAATTAAAAAAAATGGGAAAAGTTCGCGCCTAAAGCATTCAAAAGTCAAATGATTTTAATGCAAATGGATTTTCGTAGACGTTAAAGCATTTTGGGAACCAAACGACAATGAAAACGGCAATGAAAAAGAAAAAAATTTATCTATTCAAGCTGGTTTTAATTTCCCGTCCGATTTCCAAAAAAAAAAAAAACTGCAACTGAAGTTCCGCTGTTGCGGCCGAAATCGAATCAATCAAGCAGCACGGTTTTTCTTTCAATCATTGCGCTTATTTTTCTGTCTGTTCTTTTTTCCCTGTTACTTCATCGTCATCGTCGTCGTCGACGCGAATCTAATATTGTAGAGTGGTCACAGGTTTTAATTACGTTTTAATTGTCGATTCCCTCGCTCGGTGAAACCAAACAACAACAAGAACAACTACCGAAAAAAAAATACACAAGCCAAAGAAATATGAGTTGAAGAAAGAAATCCTTCAGTTTGACGGCCCCATTCTCTCTTCAAAAACCAGTCGCTTTTCAATGTAGCCGAAATAAAAAAGTATTATCATCATCCAATCCAGTCGGTTATTTTATCTAGGAAAAATGAGCGTAGAGGCAAACAAAAAAGCATGGCGGTAATCATACATTGGCCAAAAGTCACAAGTCCGCTTTGTTCGCGCGCAAGACTGATAGAGAAAGGGAGAGCGAGAGGGAGACAGAGAGAGAGAGAACGTAGTGTTAACAATTTGATACCGGAAAAAATGAATAAATTTTTCATTGAAGTAAAAGAAAACGACAACTGAATTTTTTTCGTTTTCAGTTTCATCAAAAATCGATGTACATTGTATAAACCGTTCAAAATAATGCACGAGTAGCTCAACTCTCTATCTAGGTATAGCTTAAACTCCGCTCGTTCGCGGTATTTTCTGATCAAATATGTAAATCGCACTTTATTTGTAGTAATTACTTGATGTATTTTTTGTCCCTTCTCTGTGTGAGTGAGTGAGTGAGTGTGTTCATAATTTATGATTAGTGAACGCCATATAGTAGCATTGGTACAGGGTATTAAATGTAATCAGTGGCGGTCGTTCGTTCGCTCGCGCCGTCGTCGATTTGTTTTTTCTTGGTTCCAATGCATGTGCGGAGACCATTTTTCCAAATATTCAATAATTCATTGATGTGAAATTCCACTTGTTTGTATTTCATTCGGTGTTTGATTCTCTTTTTTTCTCCTTCGTTTTCTCTCTTTCTCACCGTCGTATTTGCCATTCATGACGAATAATGCACAATGTTCTCGGGATTGGTCGCCCGAAAATGCAAATTCGATTGGCGCAAAAATTTTCCCGTGTGCAAAAAAAAACGGCAACAACAACAAGACAATATTCTGGAGACAATATTGTCGTCGTCATGTTGTCGTTTTCATTCCAATTCCAAAGTGTGTGCATCACAAGTTGACGTTTTTTTTCTTTCAACTTTTATTGTTGTTATTCCATTTATATCGTTTCGTTGTTGTCAAACAAGGCACACAACGACGTAGAAGAAGACAAATCAAATCAAGAAAATAAAATCATAATGAAATCATATCCAACTAGAATGAGCGAAATGGAATGAATGCGCGCGCTCTTCACCGATGACAGCCACCAAAACGAAGAAAAAGACAAATAAAAGAACACCGAAGTGAGAGAGAGGGAGAGAAAAACGAGAGAAGAAATAGATGAGCCTGAGCTGAAACGAATTTTAATGATAAATAACACAAACGCTAAATACTTACATTCGTGAAACCTCAAAAAGTTTCACATGCAATGCCAGTTTTGTTATTGTTGTTATATTTGTTTTTTTATTTCTCTTCTCTACTTCACTCTGCATATATACGTGTATACATATATATCTCGTCATTCGTGTTCAGCGAGTGAATGAGTGCTTCACATCTCTCAACTTGAAAAACTGGCGTGTTGAAATCGCGTGTTCTCGATAATAATATACGATTGGTTGTGTAAGCGGGACACACAACGAACGAAATAGGAAGTTTGAATATATACACAAAGAGCACGAGCTCTCGATACAAATGCTAATGAAAATATATACGTATAGAGAGACAGAGACAGAGAGAGTGAGCGAGACATAAGATGGGAATATATTGAATGCATGTACGAAAAACGTAAGAATGTTTGATTGTGTGCGTGTGCGTGTTTGTATTGGCATAGAGAGGAGGTTCGTGGGGAGGGCAATTGATAGGTAGATAAAAGATACATTGATGACTAGATAAAGAGCGAGAGATAGACACTCGTATATTGTGTTTGCATTTTGAATAGTGGTCGCCGATGCCGCCGCCGCCGCCGTTTTCGTTGCCGCTGCCACCGCCACCGTCGCCGTCATTTTTCGTTGATGAGCGCGCGCGATGCGTGGGACTGTGTAGTACAGAAGACATAGAAAGGCTATCCATACGAATTTTATTTACATTTAATTAGAATAGCAGAAAATTCTTATTGTTTTCGGTTTTCTATGGATCTGTAATCGTTGTCGATTATGTACGCGAGCACGGGGTACACCGAACTGCCGCCAATACGGCATTCATTCAATGCACACAAGAACGCAACGCCACTTGCATTCAGCGAACGAATCGTTGCAACTTCTTTTTTTTTCTTAGTTAGATTTTGGTGCGCGCTCTTTTTCTCTCGTCTTCTTTTTCCGAAGCGCGTTCACGAACCGACCGACACTCGAAGTGAATTCAGTATTATTCCACTTTTTAGCATTTAGCACGCACAGCACACAGTGCTGTCATTGTCGCCGCCATCTCCGCCGTTGCCACAGCCATAGTGCTGTTCACGCCGCGCTCTTTTTTCCGCCTCATTCGTATTCCATTCTTGACGTATGTTACGTCCCTCTCTCTCATTTGCTTTTTTTTTCAAGTCGAAAAACCACATTTTTTTCTCTGTATAGCACGAAACGAGCGCGAGCGGTTTATTCAGTTGCTGCGGTGTACAAACATAACGATAGTGTATTTAACAGAATTAAACATTCTCTGAGTGAGTCTTTTTCTGAACAACAACGACAACGAATGAGTTGTTGTTTTTTTTCTTCTTGATTATTTTTCATTCGTCTTCTTTTATTTCGGTGTATTGCGCGCTCACCCGCCTGAGTTCGCGTTTCGTTCTCGACTTTACAAATATTTATAACTTTCTTATGTCGTTCGTGAGACTCTCTTGTTGCGCGCCTTTGTGTATACAAGTATTTACAGGCACACAGTATATTGAAATGTTCATTTCGTTTCGTTTCGTTTCATTCGTTTGCTTCGCGAACAACAACTAATATTATTTATGTCTATGAACAATTGAACGAAAAAGACTCAAAGTGAACAAGAAGAAGAAGAAGAAAAAAAAAAGAACACACTAAATAAAAGCGATTGTAAAAGTTTAAGATATATACATATAGGCGAGAGCGCGTGAGTGTCCTCCTTTTTGGATTATACCGTACAATAGGGAAAAAAATAAATAAAAATTTAAAATACAACTCGACTCTCTCTCTTGTTGTTCTTTTCGCCGTATGTGTGTTGTTCATCGAAATACACAAAATCGCGCTGCTTTTGGCATTGTTTTCAAAAATGTCGACCGAGTGTGTGTTTTTATTTTTTTTTATTGTTGTTGGTTATCGTTCTGTTCAACGCGGCGAGAAATGATGTGAAATTCTTGTTTCGTCTTATTTCAGTTTGTGTGTCATCTGAAAATCAAACTTTCCAATTTTTCGGTATTATCATTTCTTTACTTCGATAGTAATAAGAGTCGGATATGTCATTTAATTGATTCCAATAAGCGCTACACAGCACTTTTAAGATAATGATCAAAATTTAAATGATGCCAATTACAGTGGTCGACCGTCGATGCAGTCGCAACCATTGCTGTTGTTGCTGAAAAGAAGCCGCCGCCGTTCGTTTGCACTTTCGGATTAAAATAATTCAATGATAACAATATGAAAATGCTTTTTGATTTTTGTGATAAGTCGAATGCGCTCTCGACGATGGCACGAACGAAGCAAAGTGAATGAAAGAAAGACAAGAAAAAAAAACTGCTTTGAAATGAGAATGCAGGTTGAGTGGCCGATTCTTTTAAGAAACAATGTTTCGACTTAAGCACATACACATTTACTTCATTTATCACACGACGGAATATTGTTTTCGTAACCTGATTCGTAAATGGCAGAGTTAAAATTTCATTTACGCGCTCATATTTACTTCGTTTTCTCTTGTATTATATCGAAAATCGTTCTAGTTAAAAATGAATACTAAATTGAGTTGTTTTGTTTTTTCGTTTCTTTTTTTTGCAGGCTGAAGTAGTTTGTACGGTGGCAGATTGAAGAGGAACCTTTTTTTCTGTTTGTGTGATTATCGCGTTCCGAAAAAAATCACAGCATCCACAAAATTGTCCATATATATACATACACACACACACACACACACACACACAGGAAGAACCGTTTACGACTATCAGAAAAAATACTGTGTGCGAGAAACAAAGTGAAGAAAGAAAATCGGAAAACGTGTCGATTTTTGTCAGAGCTGTGCATCAACATACGCCACACAGACCAAACAATTATAACGAAGATTGAGAGAGCAAAAATTTAACGTAATAAACAAAAATGGCAGCGCAAAGTAATCCGCCAGCGAGTTTTGGGTATACGTGGGGCTTTGCAGACAACTCACGCTCGGATGGCTCACAAATTGTTGAAATATCACCGAATATCAATTATACAGTTAGCGATAATGTAAGTTAATTTCTCAAACCAATTTAATATGTTTGTTTTCTCTCTATCTCGGCGAGAAATTTGTTTTTTGTTCGTCGTTTTTCGTTTGCGCAGTTGTTCTCATTTATTTTGTTTTTTTTTTGAGGCTAAGCTTCTTTTTTTAAAAAGTAGTTACTAAAAAAACCAATATTTTTACATCATTGATTTTGGCTCTAAACATTAAATTCGATTTCAATTTATGTCAAGAAAGAAAAAAAAAACACTCAACCGTCAAACATGTAAATTAAATGTTTTGCTGAAAACGGTTTTCATGGTGGATATATCCATCCGTTCATTTTTCTGAATCGTCGTAATTTTTGGCTTTCGCTAAAATAATAATCGTAGTAAAAAATCACGTTCATCTTTTGCCTCTGTCCCTTTTCTATTCACAACCATTAAGAAAGAAAATGTGGTTGCATTTCGATTGGCCGCTTTCATATTTATTTATTCCATTCATCTTGCGATTCGTTGGTACTCTAATTGGCTATTGCCGAAATAGCGTTCATTCGAATCCATCATTCATGGCTGCAAACCACATAACAATGACTCATGATGCAAATCATCTAGACACACAACAACAGCAGCAACAAAAAAGTAACATTGACTTGCTATTCACGATTCATTGCTAATAAATACCAAATACCCCCTCGCTCTCTCTCTCTCTTTCTCCCTCTGTCTCTCGCTGTCGCTTTTCGTCTCTCAATGCCGTTTTTTTTTTTCTCGTGAAAAACACCAAAATCATCCATCGAAATGTGCCGATGGAATGCGCGCCCAAAAAAACCGAACGACAGAAAGAACGGAAAAGAATTGCGCGCGTAAACAATAATAAACACACGCCTATGTGCATCTAATCAATGAATCCAAGTATGGAGGTGACATGAGCGTAATGAGAGAAAAGCGCGCGCGAGCCAACCGAATGCTGAAAAGCACGTGTAGTTATATCGCGATTGTCATTGGGTAGTAGATAAGAAAAACACATGAAAAATAATACATGTTAGCCAAACACCGCGTGTATGCACATATCAAACACACACAATCTCACGTGCTTCACTTTTACACACCACCAATACCATACCACCACCACCATCATCATCATCACACCACCCAAACTAACACATGGCCAAAAAATGAATTTTTGACTACCGGCTGATCTTATAACTAAATCAAAATAATATAATAACACATAATCACAATCACACAATGAGAGCACACAACATGCATAGAGAAAACACACAAGAGAGAGCGTGTTACGATATGAATGTGCGAGAGACATATCTACGCGCACATCTTTATCCCACCATCATCATCATAATAAAATATACACTCCATATAACGAAAAACCCAACCATACACCAATGCCAATGGTTATGCTATGCTATTGCCATGCCATCACCAATAAGAGTGAGAGGAGATATTTATACCAAATGAGAGAGTGTGAATGTACCTCACACGGTACAAGCAGAGCATAACAAAAACATTGAAACACAACCATAAGCATAAATATACATTCGCACGAAAGAAGAAGAAAAAAAAACAACAACAACAGACAGACAGACAAAAATGAGAAGAGAAGAACAAGAGCGCTCACACACACATAATGTATTTGTTGCTGCTGGTATGTCAAAGTAAAAACATACAAACTCTCCAAAACGGACGTGGAGATGAATATTTCGTTGCACAGACTCAACAGCACGCATCCAGTCTAATCAAGAAGAATAAACCTAACTGACTTTTGATCATCCTGCCAATTCTTCGTTGCCATTTGTTTCTATTCAAAGCATCCCTCTATATGGTCCAATGAACATATTGTTCACATTTTTTTCTCATCACATTGATGTTATCCCATAACAAGGAGAGCTATTTTACTAGTTTTTTTTTTCTCGTGAAAATAAATAAGTTCTCATTTCCAGTCGGAAAAAAAGACTTGTTTTCAGCCAGTCAATGCTTCAGAAAGTGCATTGATAACGCAAAAAAACATATGCGACTTTCGATTGAAAACATGCTACACAAAATGAAAATGAATTATTGACGATTAAAAGAAAGTTGCAGTCTTCAGTATGAAAATGCGTACGGTTTTAGTACCGATGAAGAATACCATTACCGCTCACGATGCATTAATAGAAAACACAAGCATGATTGAATATTCTTCTAACAGCTGGAATCGGTTTTGTCGATATGTATGTTTTTTGCTGCTGCTGCTGCTGCTGCTGTTGCTATTAAAATCGTTGTGTGTTTTCGTTTTTCGAAGTGTGTGCTATTCTCACATGTTGCGTTGTGCATTGCAAATTCTTGCGCATATTCAGCACACAAATATTCTCTCTCTTTCTCTGCATTTGATTCGGTTTGTTCAATTCGGTTGATGTTATGAAAATCAAGTAAATAATATGCACGTATGAGGGAGATCTATGTACCATGTCCAACAGCACCAGCACCACCACCAATACCACCATAATCGCCACCTCTTCACCATGTTGGTGAATGAAAATGTGTGGAATATGAAAATACATGTAGACAGACAGGCAGCGCGGTGCGAGAGAGAGAGAGCGCAGAAAAAGTGTTTGTTATGGTTGTTGACAATTATACACCAAAACATCGAACGAACGAACATCCAACTGATATATTACTTCTGTCGCTGGTGCTGCGGCTGTGGAACAAATACACACTCTCTCGAGCCTGACACACTGGTGCCCCGTGTGTCTCGTACGCGCCTCTCGCACATCTCATCAATGTGAGTACAATACACACAGCACATGAACAAGACACATCCAAAATACATGCGAACGAAACGACAACCGACCAAAACGAAACGCGCGGCTCCTCGCCGATAGAAAACATAGAGAGAGAGAGAGAGAGTGTGTGTGAGAACAACAAGAATCCAATGTAAAAATATGTATATGTATTTAGAAAGAAGCAAGCAACAGCAACACCAGCGAAAAGAGAGAAGAAAAAAAAACACTATCGAAATAGGAGAAAATGAAAACAAAACAAAACCACACACGCAAATCACGGCGAAAGAAGCACGCGGCATTTTGTGGAAAATGAGAGAAAAACTACAAACATAATATTTTTCGGTGTGTACACATATTATGTGTGAGTTGTGCGAAATCGAAAAGCGCGCGCCAGAGCGAGGGACACGCTCAACAGAGAGTGAGAGTGAGTGAGTGAGTGAGTGAGAGAAAGAAATTTATGAATGTGGAAGGTATTTTGATAGCAAAGAATAAAAAGAAGAAGAAGAAGAAAAACGACATATCAAACCAAAACAAAACAGCAGAAACACCATGCTGCTGCTACTGCTGCCCGTTTGCCGTGCATATATGTGTATACATATTCAATTCATACCATGTATATTATTAATTTAATCCATAATATTGAGTAGTTTGCTCTAATTCGCGTTTCGTGCTGTTGGTATTCATTTTTCGTTTTTGACATATCCAAGCCGATTTCGTTCGTTTGAATTTTGTTATCGTGCGATACAAACGACGCGGCGTGCTATGCTAAGTGGTACAATCTCAAACATATGCTGCATTTCCAGTGGTGGCTCTTTGCACGAGTTCTCGCGAACGCGTTGTTGCATGACAAACAGCAAATCGTCCATTTTTTTGTTTATCGCTCATCTTCTATCGCTTGCACACACGTTCTTATCAGTTTACAAACAAATATGTTGATGCAGTGCCATGCTTTAAAAGGTCATGTTAGTTTGTGTCTCTGTGGATCGAATCCAAAATCTGTTTTCAAACGATACAAAGCACATATTTTTTTAAATGACTCTAACAAATCCAACCAAAAGCTGGGCCAACTCAGAAACTCAGAAACCAAGAGCCAAGCAAACTTCAAAGCGACGTATAAACCAAACATTTCATTTCATTTATTTCAATCTGAGCTGGATGCATTGGGCAAAAGGGTTGAAAAAAAACGCCCATTCATTCATTAAAACATGTAAATTAACGGCATCGTTCTTTTTACACATTCAATACCAGATTTAATGCGAATGACAGGAGACAAAATCGCACCAACACACATATACATAATGCTTGAAAACATTTTACTACTGCGTCGAATTGATTGACTTGCCGTGATGACAAATCATTTTGGCCGCTCAATTATTAGTACTTTTGTACCATTTATTATTATTCCGTCGATAAAATCACGAAAGCATTTCATAAATTGCAACAAATAAAACATGTTCGTTTTTCGTTTCGTACTCTCGAATATCGTCTGGCTTATGGAATAAACAACAACGAACAGCAAAATGAATAGAGCAAAATAAAACTATAGTTTAATTCTACGCTTCATTCTTTTGTTGTTCAATTGCTAATGAACGAAATGGTGGAATTGAAATGGATGAAAAAAGAAGAAAAAAAAAACGCATAAAGCAACCATATTTTGTCATTCGAATTATTCTTAATTGGATTCATTAAATTCTATTTCGTGTTTGTGCTCTCTGAAAAACCGAAGCGATATAGCACATCGCATTAGGCGATATATAATGTAAAATGCGTGGATTGTTGTGTTATTTATCGGAATTATTTTTTTTCTGCCATCATTGTTTTTTTTTTCTTTCGTATATTCCATCACCATCATCATCATTCGAATTCATTTTTCGTCATTTACTGGCGACGAACTCATTCTACGCGCGCAATGTGTTTTCACTCGCTTCTCTCCCTCTCTCTCTCTCTCTGTGTGTGTTTCGCCGTTCTCGTGTATGTGTATGCCACCGAATCGAAATATTTGTGGACGACTGGGCACGCACTGCGCATGATTCACATTCAAACAAAATGGCGTTGTTGCATTGGAATGAGTGTATTTAAAAAAAAAAAGAACACACACAAAATCGCTGTGTGTGCGCTCAGTCAAAAATTGCAGTGTGAGCAGTGCAATATAAATGCTGCTTTTAGAACTAAACTCTCACTAGCTTGTCTCTCTCTCTCTATGTATGTCGCTATCTCTCTCTCTCTCTCTCTCTCTCTATTGTGTGCTCTCTCTATCTATCCATTGTGTGTACAATATTACATGCACATGTTCCGAACGAATCTGAAACATTCATGTTGTTCGGTGGTGGCCTAGTATGCTTTCAGGATTTTCGGTTTGCATATTTTGTTATATGAGAATACAACATGTCGCAACAGCAAAAATCGTTTATTCTGAATTATTGAGCACTTTTGCTGGTATAGTGTCGACCACCGTTTTGCCAATGATGATGATGATGTAAAATCGGTTCAACCATACATTTTCGGCTATCACCACCACCACCATCAACATCATTTCATGGTTGATTTCGGTTTTTCGTGTCATCTCTCTATCGGTTCCAATCCATTTCGTTTGAATTGACATCATTCAAGAAGGCGAGAATCGAACCTGAATACCGTCCAATGTTGCTGGGTTGTTATGAGACGGGAAATTGTTATTAGTCCGTAAAGAAAATGTCAAATCGGACGCGATACATAAATAAATTGAAATTGAATTTTGTCCAAAAGATTAATTCCAACTTAGATTTCGTATCATTTCACTTTTTTCGTTTTTGAAGTAGACATTCAATGGAAAGTTTTTTTTTCTACATTTTAACGTGTCATATTTCACGTTCAAACTTGATTTAGCCATTGGATTAAATGATACGAATGAATTGAATTTGATGTGAACTTTTTTTTATTCAAAATTGACAAAAAACAAACAAACGAAATTTAAACAAAAAAAATTGTGTAACATTTTGATTCATCACACATGTGTTCTTTTATTTTATTTCTTTTTATTCCTTCACATGCATTGTCGCCTCCACCACACGCATCACCAAAAAAATTAAATATATCATCTAATCTGATCATCAAACAAAATAAAAACGCTTGACTTTTACCAAAACAAAAAAAAAACAAAAAACAAAAATTGTACACACATTCGCACTCGCTTGATCAAAAAAAATCATCTTCATCTCATCATACAACATCATCATCTGAACCACCAAACTCTATTGCGAATTGAATTTGCTTACTCCACGTGCAACACACGTATACATATATACACAAAAAACAAAACATAAACAAAACCATACGCATCCAAACCAAACCAAACAAAAAATCGCATTGTATCGCGATCGCCTGTATTCGCAAACAAAAACTGCATCGAAATTTTACAGATGCCCTACTTGCAGTTAACCGATGGAGGTATCACCGTGCAACAAAAGGACGTGAAGGGAGCTATCGCACACACGAATAAAGGAGTTGTTCGCCGTATGTTTGTCGTCAATGAACCATTTTCACAAGCGTCTACACAAAGGTAAGGTTTTTATGCTCTTCATCTCCTCCCTTTTCATCCAATTTTCGGCTTATTTATTTTTATGGATAAAATCATTTCGAGTAATAATTATTTTTTCTGATTTCCATTTTACAGCGGCAATTTCCGTGTAATTACGGGTAATGCAGCCTCATCCGTTGGAAAGAAACACGATGTCCTCAGCATTGGATGCGATAAAAACTGTAATTATTTCTCCATTGTTTTTGTTTTATTTCTATTTTCAACTTTGACTATATAGAAAACTAATATTCACACACACACACACACACAAACACACTCGGACTTTTATAAACGAATGTTGCTTCTCGTGTGCTTTCGTTGGTGACTCTCTATACTTTATATATATACATATATTTACACCACAAACTACGGCCCATACATTTGAGAAACCAAAAACAGCCCAATCGCACTTTGAATTTCGTTTCGTCGTGGTAGAAATTGTTGGGCATATAATTGTTATTGCCATGCGTTTAATTTGTCAAACATGTTATTTGTCGCTTAGATTTAATTTAAGCTCAAGAGACACACAATTTTGAGTCTTGTTTGACTTCACGATTCAATCGTTCATTTTATCGATGTTATCGTTGCACATATGACAAATGGGAATATACCGCAAAAAGGAATATCGATTCGTTCTCGTTTTCGACACACATCAACAATATGATGATGATAATGTGTGTGAGTGCGTCTGTGTGTGGTTGGATGGATTTTCGGCTGTATGGTTTGTGGTCGGTGGTGTTTAATGTTCATGTCGTTAAATCAAAAGCAGAAAATAAAACTCGTACAAAACAATCACCGTAAACCGGTCGTTGTTTTTAAAAACGAGACACATGTTTTAGCACCAATTCAACTACCGAATTTTGCTTACAACGAAAAAAATTTCCATAAATAAAAATTGTGCGACCAAAAGTTTTTTCGTTCTTCAACAAATTGTTGGTGTAGTTCATACATACAACTTTTGCTGGAATGGTTTTTCCAACGTCACAAATTGTTGTGTGACACTTGTGTGTGTGCCTGTGCTCGCTCGCTCGTTTTGGCCGATTTCAAAATAGATTTGGAATCCCAACAAATGCTCAAAATAACATACACTTCGGTTTCTCGCTCTCTCTCTCTCTCTCTCTCTCTCTCATTCGGTCACAAAAATTTCCACTTCGCAATTCAAAATTACTTGATTGACACACACAAACACTTGAGATTATTTGAGAAACGATTTGGCTCAAGTTTCATTTTAAAAAAAAACACACACAAAAAACGGCTACCAAAATCAAGAAAAAACAAAAGTAAAAATCAAATCGAACATTTTTGAAAAACAGTTTTGCTGCGGACACGTTCAAATTAATCATTGATGGCGTCAAATACAATTTTCAATTTCTGAATATTGTGTTCATTACGGTTACCAAAATGGCTATTTAAACTCTTCTTCCCCCCCTTCAAAAGTCAAGTCTTCAAAATCGAAATCGTTCATGTTATTTTTCTCACATCGAATCGGAGACGAAATGCCCATTTGCATTTTGAAAAGAAAAAAACATATCCCTCCGATGAACTTCCCTCCAAAAATCAAAAAATAATTAAAACACTCAGACTCAAAATTGATCTAAAACTTATCCATTTTCATGTGTTTTTTCTTATTAATTCTTTTATTATTTTGTATTTCTTTTTTTTCCTGTGATCGATCGCGAATATTTAAAAAAAAATTATTTATGACTTTTTTTTTTGTTAATTTTCTTTTAACAATTGATTGATTTTTATTGAGCTTTTGGTTTAAAAATTTTTTTGATGGAAATTATTTTTGTTTTCAAAATTTCAAGAAGATGCAAGAAAAAAATCATCAAATTTTTAGCTCCTCACATTCACTCACATACTTTCCTTTCAATTAACCACTCTTGATACACCCATTTGCATTTTGTTTGTAAAATCACACGCACATTTTGTGAACTCACTGTTCGTTTTTGTTTAATTTCCCTCCTTCACATTATCTTTTTTTTTAATTAATTGCCATATTAGTTTAGTTTTTAGTTTATGATTTTGGTTTAATTTTTTTTTTGTGTTTTTGATTGAATTGTGCATTTGTTCCCACTTTTTTTTTTTAAACTAAAGAAAAAACAAAAATAACGCAAACACAAAGTCAAAAATAGAAAGAAAAAAAAAATCGAATCCATTCAAAAAAATAAAAATTAAATCACACACAAACACACAAGAAAAATTTCAAAAATTCTAACGTTCTCTGAATATACCAATCAACATATACACAAAAAAACCTCCCCACAACAACTCTCAAACCAACAAACAACAAAAACGAAAAAAATCGAAAAACAAAACCAACACGAACAATGAATTCGATGCTCTGGTTCCATAGATCAAACAGATCATTCCCATACTTTAGCCAATGGTATTCTGGACAATAAGACGCAAACCGTTTTAACATCGGCTTCGAAAAATTCGTCGACGTTTATGAGCTCAATCGGAACACTTCAGCTAACACCTGAAGAATGTAATGAAATTTTAATGAAACGTGCCGCAGCTGCTGCGCAACACCAAAATCATACGACAATAACGACCACTGATGGACAGCACACAGGTACGATTAGTCGACTGCATAAAGTTGTATTAACGTGCGTTTAAAACATTTTTATTTCCAGATTTTTTAATACGTGAAGGTATTTCGGTGCAAGTGCAAAAAGTGATTCAAGGTTTGGAAGATGCAGACGATTCACAGGCCACATCATCCACACACTGTAAATTGGAACCAGTGCTAGAGATCAATCCAAAAGAGGAAATCTTAACGGCCGAAGAACATGAAATGGCAACGGGCGGTGCGCCCAAAGAACGCCCATACGCTTGTGAAGAATGCGGCAAAAGTTTTTTGCTAAAACACCATTTAACCACTCATGCACGCGTCCATACGGGTGAACGGCCACATGTGTGCGTTCATTGTGGCAAATCATTTGCCCATAAACACTGCTTAAACACACATTTGCTGTTGCATTCAACCGATCGTCCATATCAGTGCAGCGAATGTAAAAAGAGTTTCACACTCAAACATCATTTGCTTACGCATTCACGGGTCCACAGGTAACAATAAACAAAATAAAAACCCAACAATCGTCTACTCTTTGGAGAAGCTGTAATTCTTATGAAGCGCATTTTACTATTTGCACGGCGCACAAGTGCTGATCCATATGAATAATATCAGACAAAAATCATTCGCGATTCGATCATAAGCAATCGTGCGCCTTGGAAATAGTTACCTAAGGAGTCTTACCTTAAGGAGGTTGCATCTCAAGAGAAATTTACCTTGAGGCGAGCTTACCTTTGGACGAACTTGCTTTAGGACATCTTTTTGCTTGTCCGGAGCTGATGTCTCCATGATGCGAGTCAATGGGAAATTTCATTTGAAAATTCTCAACTCAAATTCATTTTGTGTATTTTTTTTTGCTAGGAATTCTTAGCAAACATACTAATTGCCTTTTTCGAATTTGTTTTTCTCTTCTCTTTCCATTTTCTGTTTGTTTCTCTCCATTATCGATCAAATAGCCGCGAGAGACCATTCATTTGCCAGGAGTGCGGTCGTTCGTTCCCATTGAAACGTCATTTGGTTACACACAGCAAATTCCATGCCGGCGAGCGACCATACGTTTGTGACGAGTGTGGCGAGAGTTTTGCCCAAGAGAACCATTTGATCATGCATTCTCGATTCCACGGATCACTCAATCCATTTGTCTGTTCAGATTGTGGTGCGACATTTCCGCGTAAATTTCAATTGGTCAACCATGGGCGCATTCACGGCCGTGTGCCACACTCTTGCACCGTTTGCGGAAAAGAGTTCTTGCAGAAGCGAACATTGGTGGCGCATATGAGGTTGTACGTCTATAAGTTTTGCTTTTTATTTTCATTATTCTATACTCTTTATTTGCTTCAAATTTCAAATTTGTTTTTAATTCATCTAGCATTAACTTTCTAATGGCATTTAATTATTCTGTTCATCATCTGTTCTATATCAGAACCTACCTGAACCTCATTTCGACCAACTATTATTTTTCTTTAATTGTGATTCAATCTTTGATTCGTAATCTATTTTTTCTCTCATCATTTACTCTTTTTTTGTGTGTTTACATTATATAAATGAAATTGTCACGTCGAATGAAACATTTGACTAATTCGTTTTTATTTTTGGTTTTGTACGTCTCATTGTATCTGAATACCAAAAAAACACTAGATTGCACACAGGCGATCAACCATATCCATGCACAGCATGCGGTGAAGGATTCCGCACAAAAGCTGAACTCAACCAGCACAATCGTGCTACTCACGGTGGAATCAATCCAAATTCAGCAAACACCACGATCGTTGTGTCTGGATCGCAACAACAACAAATGGTAAGCCATCTTGTTGATCAGCCCCAAAAATAAAATAAAAATATTTCTCTTTTGTTTTTTGTTTTCTCATTTAAATTGAAAATTTTACCAAATTCGCAAATCATTAATATATTTACATTTGATTTTAATCGATGTAATAAAGCGTTATCCTGTGTTACAGCATCAGCCACAAACTGTAACTGTTGTAAGTCAATCAAATAACGGCTTAGTAACTACCATCACATCGCCAGAAACATCACCGAGACCGCAATATGCATGCCGGTTTGTATTGACACTTTTTCTTTCTCTTTCCTTATCACATATGATATGAATTGAGCGATTTCATCGACCCCAATTGGAATTATTTGAATCGATTGAAGCTTCGACTTTGATCTAATTATTTTATGACATCAATCAATAATGATTTTTTTTTTCATTTTCATTCGCATTCTCTTCAACAATGAAAACAAAAAAAATGTGCAGAGAATGCGGTCAAGCGTTCAATAGTCGCGAAGCCTTGGCACTTCATCTTCGATTACACACCGGTGACAAGAGCTTAATGACCGATTTATGTGCATTGACTGCTGCATTGCCGGGTCATTTCTTGAGCACGAACACAGGCGCTACTGTGTTAGCATCGAATCATTCGGTTGTCCAGCAGACACCTGTGCCGGTACAAATTTTGTCAAGCGGACAAGTAGTACAACCAATCGTTCAGAACACACAACATCACCAACAGCAACAGCATCATCAGCAGCACCAAATGGTCCAGCATCACAATAACACAGGTAAGAATACAAATACACCCGATGTTACGATTACGTATCCCATACAATCGATCCATCATCATCATCATTATCACCATCTCAATCTCATCATATCTATCAAAATTCCATTTTTTTTGTTGGCTTTTTTCATTTATCATTTTCTTTCGTTTTTTTCTTCTTTTCATTACTCCATCACAATTGTGTGTTACATTGTCGAGAAAACCCGGAACCGCTTACGCAATCCTTTTTCTCGAAAATGTAACACGCAATCATGAATAGAAAAAAAAAATGAAAGAAAACGTTGTTGTAACTAATTCAATAGCGTTTAATTTTTTCTTTCGCTCTATTCTAACACACACTCACTCACATTCATTATTATTTCCCACCCGTCTTTTTTTCCCTCATGTTTTATTGGTTAATTCGAAACACAATTCACAAAGGTATGACCGAATTAATCGATGTTTCTGAAACAGGCCATCAAAGTGTAGTTGTCACAGCGCCACAACAAAAGCCGAAAACACATTTCTGTACAAGTTGTGGTAAAGGATTTGCTGCCAAACATGGCCTTCTGCAGCACAATCGCCGACATCCGAACGGCGGCTGCACCCTGCGTACCCACGTGTGCGAATGTGGAAAAGCATTTTTCCAAAAGAATCACTTGATGCTCCATCAGCGCCAGCACTTGGAAACAAAACCATCGGTGGCTACGTTGCAACAACAAGCACAACAACAACAGGTTTGTTAAACCAATATACAAAAAAAAATTAAAATAAAAAAAAACCATTCTTTCAACGCACCCGATAGAGACACAAAATATATTAAATAGCAAAAGAAAAATTAATTAATTGAAGTAAATCCCCATCCACATACAAAAAAAAATGCACACGCAAAAATACAAATAAAATACAAATAAAAAAAAACAAATTGCAAATGGCATCCTCACTGATCGTAAAAAACTGTTAGATTGTTGTTGAAATTCCACAGGATGCGCAAAATCAACAGCTACAGACACAACAGCAAGCTCAGAATCAGGCGCAACAGGCTCAGAACCAACAAAATAACCAACAGCTGACCACCCGTGAAGTGTTAATCGGAAATCAACCGGTCCATGTGCAGGTTCTGCAAGGAAACACCGCACAAGTAATCAAATATGAAATAAACATTCCTCAAGAGAGTCAACAAATCGAATGAACAAATTTGCCATGTCGATGATGATGATGAGCCGAGTGAAAAAAGATAGCAAATAATTAAAAGAAGAGAAAGAAAAAAAAACAAGAATAATGAAAGAAGAACACATAACACACACAACACACATACACCGAGAGAAAGAATGGATTAAGGAATGAACACAAGTTTTACTTATAAATAAAATCTAAATCTAAATCTAAAGTTATAGTTTCTCTTGCGAATTTTTTTTTTAAGGAAATACAAAAAAATAAAATGATAAAAAATGTATGCAAAAAAGAATAATAAACACAAAACAAAAAATCCGAGGCACACACAGACACCAGGCTGTCGGGCCTCTGACCGTGGAAAATCGTTTGAACCGCCCCCTCCCCCCTCACTCCCTCCCTTTTCGTCTTTGCCAGCACACAGTGGATGTCTTGTTCGAGGATGCGAGAGGCCGGGAACTGTAGTCAAAATGTAGATTGAAAATTATGTGACGTAAACAAAACGAAAACGATTAATTATTGGGAAAAAAGCAAATTCCTCTATTTGTGGCGATTAAACGATTTTCCACGATCAGACGTGGAAGGTATTTTGCAATCAAAGTCAAGGCTTTCAAAATACATTGTAATAACAATTTCGATAATAGAATCTTAGAATAACACCAAGACGAAGAAACGAAAATATTGGAATAGGAGTTTCAACCAAATCCCATACACACACACGACGCAAATCCAAAATAAGATCGACCGAGGGAAAATAGCAGCTAAACAATAAAAAAACCAACTCATTTATTCGGTCCATTTTTTTAATTTTTTCTTTTAAAAAAGTTCTTAAGCGAATTGCAAAAGTATCGTGTGTTCTTCTATCCAAAAATAAAAAAAATTAGTCGGCGCAAGACGCAGAAAGAAAAACAAACAAATCGTGATTTTGTTTTCGAATTTTCCACCATACGTGACCTGTCGCGTTTTACTTTCGTTGATTAATTTTTTTTCCGTTTCAATCAAATTCGAAATGCAGAAGAAAAACAAATCGCCAATCCAATTGTAAGAAGAGTTAAAGTGGAAAAGAGAGAGTGAGAGAGAAATAGCGAAAGCAAACACCAGAGAGAAATTTTTTTTATTATGTTAGATTTGTTATTACTAATGATAAATGAAACAGACACAATTTGTTAACCAAAATGCAAATCGCAAAATTGCACACACTATCTAAAAGAAATGGACGGAAAAATACCGTCTACAGAAAGAGAAAGAGAGAATTTTATGAGAAAATACCATATATGAGTTTTTAAAAAACCGTTGAAACCTTAAGAACCTTAATTATTTGCAAAACAGATTTTTTTTTTATTTTAATGGGCAAATTAGGATTAAAACAATAAGAGAAGCAAACAAATGTGGCACCAAAGTGTAGACAACATTAATCAAAATAAGAAGAAAATAGTTGTTTTTTTTCTTTCTTTCGGTGATTTAACACACAAACACATACTATGAAAATACACACGGTAGTGCCACCAACTCGTTTGCTTTTCACATTTCTCTCAAAGCGGAAAAATTATTTCTTCTTCTTTCAAAAAAAAGGGAATTAAAAAAAAATAGTTAAATTGCACAATAAGTATGATGAAATATATAGGCACGATTCCTCCTTCCCCAAGCATCGATCCTCCATTTAAATGAAACGAAACAAAAACAAAATGTATCAAAACTTTCTGTAACTGTTTCTTCTGCAGACCAACAATCACACACTATTTCAATTTTGCCACAACAAACAAGTTTGCGAACGAAATGAGATGAAATATTTTTTTGTAGTTGCCATTTAAATAATTTTACAATTTTTACACATATAGGACAAGCAAAAAAATAATAATACAAAATGATGAATGATCAAGCGAAAAAAAAAATTAACCAGTGCGTTTAGCTCTTTGTTTTTTTGTTCTTTTTTTTTAAGTTGATTATTCACAACAGCGATAAATCATGTGCGTCATAGAAAAAAAAATGTTAATTCGTCCAAATAGCAAAATCGTGTTTATTTCCATGAATTTGTGTTCGCTTTTTCGTTGTGTTTTCTCTTGTTCTCGGCGATACCCCATGTTCCTTGATCGTCGTCGTCGTTGTCGTCGTTGTCGTCATTGTCGTCGCCACAGCCACCGTGCCACACCGCGTGTACACTTCACCATTTCGTGTTCACGTCCAATTAGACAAACAATTGCCTAATACAGACAGAGCGAGGAATACAGAGTGAATGAGTGAGTGAGAGAGAGAAAAGCCGATCATTTGAGCTAAGGAATCATAGTTTCAAAAATCGTTATTAAAAAAATCGAAACGAAAAAAAAACCAAATCAATTTAGTCGAGTTGTTGTGTTGTTTTTTTTTTAGTTAAACGTCATTCAATAACGAATCCAAACGTAAAAATGCGCCGAAATTCAATTCATATTCATGTTCTGAGTTGCAAAAATGTGCCACACATATTCAACACCAACAAAAACATCAACAACAACATCATATAACCGATAAAAATGAAATGCGCCGCTCTCGTGTCGTGTGCAATGTGCTGCTGTATGATTGATTTTGCCTTTCCGCAAAACGCGCAATAATGTGTAATACAATAAACCAAAATGGATAAATGAAACAAACAGACACACACACACCCACAAAACAATGTATTATGAAAGAAAAGAGCCAAATGTCTGAATGTGTATAAAGGAAAAATGTATGTATAAAATGTTAAAAATGATAAGTTCAACTCTTGTGTTTTTTTTCTCTCTCGCTTTAAACAAATCAAATTTAGACAAACAAACTGTTGTGTTCTACATTTCTATTCGAATATTTGCACACAATGCATAGCAACAACAACAAAAAAAAACACGACACCGAACTATCATTGCAAAGGTTATGCGACGCAAAATACGCTACACACACATGCATGAAAAATATTTTTTCGACGGAAGAATGGAACGGGAAAAAAAAACAAATAAATGCATGGTGCGCCATGTGCCAGTGCACGCTAATTAATCTAGGGAATTCAATTTTTTTTAAACAAAAGAATACAAAAAAATGGCCATACCATTAAATAAACGCGGCGGTCTCTTTATTGACTCTCATACAGGATATCTGCTCGCAGCTATCACATACACACACCGCAAAATAACATCCAATAAAAATAATAGATTCGTTTTTTTTTCAAATTGTGTTCTGAGTTAGACAAAACCGACATAAAAACAGAAACACACACACACACACACACACACGGAGAAAGAAACAAGCTATAAATAAACAATCTATATATATATATAAATTAAAGGTAACAAAAAAAATATGGAAAAATACTAATTAAGATAAAGTTATGCGAGAATTTATTGCGGGCATAAACAATACTAATGATAACAAATTTACGATAGAAATACCGAAATTCGGTACGGTGTTTTTCGTTTTTCTATTCTTGCAATGAACATTTGAGAAATAATACACGTAAACAAGCAAAAAAACATAGAAAATAGATGATTGAAATTAAAATTTAGAAGAACCGAGAGGAAAACACACAAAACGAACGCGTAGAGACAGAGCGCCAAAACCGAAATCAATTTCAAATTGGATGGGGATTGCATTGCGTTCGGGTGCGGGTGCAGAAAAAAAAAAAGAAAACAAATACCCTTGTTAAAATAATTTAACTGTATCATTAATAAAATAAAGGAAAAAAAAATTTTACATTGTACAATGTACACACATTTATGGTAGAAAAAAAAACATAGACAGTTGCAGAATGTAATAAAAGTAAAGAAAAATAATTAACAAAAGAAGAAGAAAAAAAAACATTATGTGAAGTTCAAACTAAGCATAAAGTGGATATTTTTACTACACAAAGGAAAAGAAACAACAGAGAAATACAGTGAATAATAATTATTGAGAAGAAAAAAACAACAACATTTAAATGGTTTATGATAAATGATAATTTAGGGTGGAAATCGTATCTAAATAAATGATGAGACAAAAACTACAGATTCGAAAAGAAAACCAACACACACATGTACACACAAGGGAAAACAATTCTATTAATTCTAATGTTTAAGCTTAGGAAAGATGAAATCGTTATGTCGGTCACTGGCATGGACAACACACATCCACACATTATGCGCAATATGCAGGTTGACACAGAGTATATATATATATGAATAAAATAAAAATTGAAAGAAAAAACAACAACAACAAATAAAATGTAACTTGTAATAGTCAAATCGAAAATTGAATTCAAACCAATCAATTTGCAACAAAAGCAATTACAAATTACATACAGTTGAACCATCGCATCGCATTCACCAAGCAAAGCAAGCGAAGAAAACAAAAGCAAATCGCATTCCTGCTTCTGCTGTTGCTGCTATCGCTGCCATCGCTGCTGCATTAAGTACATCGAACCGCAAACAAATAAAACATGCAAAATCACACACACACACACACACCCAGCCAGAGGTAGAGAGAGAGAGAGAGAGAGAAAAAAGTGAAAAAGAAATAGTTCTGTCGTTTTAGTAATATAACAAGCACAATAATAATCGCGTCGATGTGTGTGCGTGAAATCGTATTAAAGACATTATCGCAATATATACCCACAGTTTAGTGCCTTTGTACGATTTTTGCGATTATTTTACATAGAACGGAACAAGTTCGTTTACAATATTCGTTTGGTTTCTCTGCTCGGTATTATTTTTCTTTTTTTGTTGTGTTTCTTTCTCTTCGTTCATCTCTGTATACAATGTTCAATTGGGTTCTTCTTCGTTTGCTGCGGCGCAAAAGAAAAATAAAAGGTAGCAAAATACATTTTGTCGCGAACAAATGGGTGATGAGTGGAAAAAGGCAAACAAACAAAAAAAACAACTCCTTTTTGGGCAGAGAGAAAATCTGGCACGAATTGAACAGCAACGACAACGACAACAATATCTGTGCCATGCATTGGCAACTAGAGAGAATACGTATAATCAAACGCAATTTCTACACACATGTGTCTCGCAATAACATGTGTGAAACACACAGTCGAATCCATTGATTGATCATTGGCACAATCTCACTCGCACACACCATTTTCTACGATGCAAATAAACAACAACCAGTGCAGCCCTGAACATCAATTGATGTGGAACAAATGCGTTTGCTGTACAATTATATCGTTGTTGTTATTGACGATGATGATGATGTGGTTTTTTTTATTTCTCTGTTTTAATTTTCTCGATGCGAATAAACATCCTGCTGATCAAATGCCAGCCAATTACACCATGATGAATTCAAATTTACTCTCGCTTTTCTCTCGCTCTCTCAGTGTTCGATTTGCTTCTTTTTTTCTGTTCTTTACCTTTTTTTACGCTTCAAATTTTCCCTTTTTTTCGAATCACATATGCCGCCTGCCTGCTTGCCTGTCTGCCTCGCCGCCCCTACGCTGGCCTTCCTTCAACCCCCTCCAGTTTGTGAAACTTAACGTGGGTATCTTAAACTGCTTGGTAGACTATTATGTCGTAGAAAGAAAATCTAATCGCACACTCCGATTTAATTTCTTCTTCTTTGCTGTGCTCTCGATTTTCGTTTCCAAAATCAATTTGCAGCTCATTATTTTAGAGAGAAAGAAACGTTTTCACGTACACATCACTTTTATTTTATCCACATAGAAAATAGAGAAATTCAATATAAAAAAAAAGAGGTGAAAAACATACACAGACGGGGGAAAAAGGTGATAATTAACGCAAAGTGGTCTTCTTATGTGTGGCAATACATTTATGTGGAAGCCTGTCTCGATCGTCTCGTCGAATCATTATTCGATCGCGATTTGAGAGCACACGTATCGTGCAATTACACACGGATATGGAAAACTATCGATTGCTGCGGGCACATTTACACGATCCAACGGACATGTAGCATGTATTAGCAAAAGCCATAAAATGACCTCTTCTTTTGCATACACATTTTGACATACGGCGAATAAAACACAACAGAAAACACACAATTCACAGATTTAGACAAACAAAACGATCGATTTTTTTCTTTTATTTCCAGTATTTCGAAAGCGAGAGTGTGAACGGGAATGCATGTCAGATTGAGTGTGAGAGAGAAAGAGTGCGTGTCTGTGCTAGAGAGAGAGAGAGTGTGTATGAGAGTGAATGAGTGACTGCGAATGAACGCGATAAACCGAACGAGAATAGCGATAACAATTTAAAAAAAAACTGGTTCAGAAAAAGGAACAAGGAGTAGAAAAACCAATATTGCAGAAAACGTTCGAAAACGTAAGTCAACTAGAAGTGAGAAAACAATAATACGAAACAATCGAGAGAAAGAGAAATGATTAAGGAAGAGAAAAAAAAACATTATATATAAAATGAAAACTACATGTGATCTATGCACGGATTGCTTCGTAACGAGTCAAACAGAAGAAAAAAAAAGAACTAAAAACAAAAGGAAAAAACAAACACAATAAATCATGATACGCGGACTGTATTGGTGGAATAACAACACAGATGATGATGAAGTAGAAGGAAATAAAAAGATGATGAAGAAGAAAAAGAGAGAAAAAAATTGATGATTGAATATAAACAAACCCTTTATGCATAAAATGTGTTATTTTTAATAAATCCTATATGCATGTACATGCACTTTACTATTATATTATGCTAATGCTATACTTATACATATTAAACACAAATTTAAAGAAGAAAAATGGAGTAAAAAACAAACAAACAAACAAAAAACAACAAGAACGTCAACAAGAAGATAAAAAAAAACAGAAAAAAATGAAAATGAATTTTAAACGTAATGAGAAAATAATGAAACAACAAAAAAAATCACACAATTTAATTTCTTATATTTTCATAATGATGGATGAGGAACATTTTAAGATAATTGATGCAATTACTTTTAAATAGCGATAATAATAATAAAAAGAGAAAACGAATTAAAATAAAAAAAAACATTTGAAAAAGAAACCATTGACTCTCGCTCATTTTATTTGGTCTCATTTGTTGTTGTTATTAGTAGTTCCGTAGTTGATTGTGCTGTTTTGAATCCGCTGCTCGACAAGCGTGAATCCGAGCTCGTCGAAATAGCGCACTTGGGGCGTTTGTTTTAATCTATAGTTTTGTGCCACATTTATCGCAGTAGTCCAAGGACGTCAGTTCAACAGGGGCCACAACTGTGTATTCATGATGTAAAACGATTACACACACACATACTATATACTTGCAATGTTCTTCTTCACTACGTCACCTTTTTCGATTCGTTTGTTTTTTTTTTCTTCAAATTTTACATTGGGGATAATCATTGAAATGCAAATAGCGCAATACAAATATTGTTGTAAAAGCCCATATCTGACGAGGCTATCAAAAAAGCCCCGATCGATTGTCCGTCCGTTCATTCCAACATAACGAACAAACCGAATCGCAACCCAACCGATTTTTCGTCGATGAAACTAAAAAAAAATTTACGTAATACACTTTAATACGCAGTTGATTCCCTCTTGATAAACAAATGAATAGATTTGACAGATATTCGTGTAAGCTACCAATGCATATTCAACATATCATCAACGCTGCTGCTGCGGTTGTTGTTGTTTATTTAAGTCTTCTCTAGAAAATTCAAAATTGGAAGAAAAAAAACGACGGGTTCGAAAAATGGCGCGAAATGATGGCAGAACAGACGGACGACGATGAACCGAAATGCATATTTAAAACGATAACGGACGACGGCAACGGTGGAGGCGATGACGGTGGCGATGCTATTCGATGCTTGTGCAATTGATAAAATCACCAAGGAAACCGAAGCAAACCAATTCAAACCAAAACAAAACCAAGTACAAAAAAGATAATCAACGGCAAACATCGACGCATTTTTCATATGTTTGGGTCGTCGTCGTTGGTGTCGATGTCGTTGTCGATGTTCGCTCTGCTCCTGCTGCTGCTGCTGATATTCCGATTTCAAAGCACTGTGCCACACGATTCGATCGAGCACACACCACGAATATAGCATGTATCGCTGCTTGGAGAATATGTACTGGCATTTTACCCATCTATTACATAGATCCATTTGTAATTGATGTGAGCGATTGTTTATATTGCGCGCTGGCTTATATATATGGTTTCTCTATTTTTGTATGTTCCGAAGCGTTTGTTGCTCGTTCTCTTCGTTTAATTCTATATGTCGTAGCAGCAGCAGCAAAAAGTTTTGCGCAAAATCGAGTCAATCCACATAAGCACACATGCTCATAATCAATGTTTAAGTGTGTTTCGCTGTTGCACATCGATGTTCGCAGTCACAATCATACACAAGCACGCACACACATGTGCACACGGTCCAATATTTATATCAAAACAATGCAAACGGCAAAATGTGCGTACAGACAGTATAAGGTTTGTTATATGTTGTTGGTTTTTTTTTTCTTCTGTATTTCTCACGATATGTATATATACACAGGGAAAACGTCGCAATACGAAAGCAGATAGCAGCGTAAACATCGCAGTTCATAACAAACGTTCAAGAAATTTAGAAATCTTCGCTCACCATTTCGCAGAAATCGTTCGAAAAGAGAAGAAATTTGACAGAAAAAAAGTCGAAAAAAATACACACAATAGAAGAAGACACGAAACGGTTGTTTATTAGTTTTGTTTGTTTGGCTTTTTTTTCGACGACACGGATAAAGAGCCACCGACAGATTAGCAGAGAGAAATTAACGCAGAAAGGTGTACGAAAAAAATTAAGTGATTGGCACAAATTTGGCGTATAAATTTATTCCGAAAACGTGAAAGAGAGTGCAGGGAATGTACAAATTCTGATTCATTTTTGATTAGCACAACAAAACAATCTCCGAATCGGGTATATGAATTGGCAGTAGAGTGAAAGAATAAAGAGAGGTAAAAAAAAGCATAACAAACCTAACGGGAACACAGAAAACGAAGCTGTTGAATGAAACGCGACGTTTCAACGACGACGACTAAGACCACGACAACAACAAGGAGACAAAGACAGACAGAGAAAACCAGCACACAGCACCCATTCCGAGCGCAGCGGAGCGACGGAGAGAAGAAAATAACAAACAAAGACATACAACACATCAGCACACATAGTTAGAGAGCAGAGCAGAGCACAGCACACATCAATAAATATAATAACAAAGCTGCGTTTTGTTTTCTCACTTCGAAATCTTCACAACGACTTCAGTTGTACTGTTACACAATTTGTAATTGCGTCGCATCGTAAACAACACGAAACAAAAATAAAAAAAACATTTTACCACACGTCAAACTGCCTGCGAGAACGTAATAGAAAAGAAAATACAACCAAATATATAGCAAATAAATTTCTTTTTATTTAAAACGTTATTCGCCACAATAAGACAAAACCAAAATTCTCATCGATTTATCAAAAAAGGAATTCACAGTTTTTGACGAAAACAAAAAACCAATCGAAGAAGAAATAACTCGAGAAATTTTCACACATTCACGAAAGACGAAGTGAAAAAACAAAACAAAATCAGCCACAAAGCGAGAGAGACAATAAAAGAAATAGTCATCAACATTCATTGAGGCCAATGGACTGAGAAAAAGTTTAATGTCGATGTGTGCTATTTTAAAAAGTGTTCGCTTCTCGAAAACTGTATGGAAAATTTCGAATCAATACAATGACCCCTAGTGCATTGTCAAAACATTCAACGCATTGTGATAAACAATAATAATAACATCAACAACAAATAAAATGTTATAAAAAGAGAGAAACACAAATAATAAAATAAAATAATATCCGATCGTGTTCAGTGTGACAAAAAAAAAAAACAAATTAATTCATGCACACTCAATTCTTTCTCGTTTAATCGCAATCCGAGAAGAAGAAAACCCTAAAACACGAATCATCTAAATCGAATTTTAAACGCAGCAAATCTAATAGCATATTCAGCCAAAACGAGATCAAGGTTTGACAAGTACATAATTTGCGTAGACTTCGCTGATTTTCTGGTTTTCGTTTCGATTCGTTGTCGCTGTGTGTTTTGTTTTTCTCTTCATTCCTATGACAGATTCAATCTTGTTCTTTAGTGCGCGCTCAATTCTACGATTTAGTCGAATAAATTGCGTTTTTCCCCCCGTTAGCGATTGATTAAATCGTATCTTTTTTTTCGTCGACGAAAGAAGAAAAAAAAAACGAAATTGTCCAACGCGCGAAAAATCGCGATAAAATCAAGAGTAATTTCCGATGCGCAAATTAATATATAATTAAAAATAAACATCAAGCGATTATAAAGAAACACAAAAATACATTTTTTCCCCTTCTGAAAAAAAAAAAACAGAGGAAAACTTATCGACCCGCCGCCACCAACATATACTAACAACAAGTAAGTACTTAAATGGAATTTCCAAATGAATAATAAATTGTTTGCATTTACAAAATATTCAACATATATATATATATATATATATATATATATATCGAAAGAAAACTCGATTAGATTAGGAGATTTTGAATTTAAAGTTTGGTTTGGCATATTTCATGTTTTCGTTTTTCGCCCAAAAAATAGCGAACAAACCAACGAGAAAGAAAGAAAAAAAAATCGTTGAATGGCTACTTGAATTTGCGTTCTGGCACACAGCCACACACAGCCAAATGTTGCAAAACAAAACAAAAATCATATGTTTTCCCCCGACAATCGATATTTTTCTCTATCTGCGTCTCTCGTTGTGCGCTTTTGTTGCTCTTCAAGCTGCTGTTGATGCTGCAGCTATTGCTGTTGTTGTTGAGATGTAGAGGCACTTCTCGTCGTGCTCCCGATGCCCAGCGAACGAATTGCGCTCCGCTTCTTCGTTCATTGTATTGCGAAGCGCTTTTTCGTCTCTCTCTCTCTCTCTCTCTCTCTCTCTCTCTCTCTCTCTCTCTCTCAATTTATATGTACATCTAACACTGTATGTGCTGTTGCTATTGCCATTGCTCTGTTTTTCTCTTCTTCGTCGTTGTCGTTCTCTGTTTCGCTTGTGCTCAGTCGATTTCAACGTATAGGTCACTTGCTTTTTCATTTATATCTATCGTATCTGTACGAGCACAGCCAATCCAATTTCAATCCAAGCCCCGAATTGTACGCGACCAAGTTCAAAAAACTGGTCGCTTCTGTGAGTCCCACTGCTGCTGCTGCTGCTGCTGTTGCTGTTGTTTTTTCTTCTTTCTCTTTACATCTTTCTTTCTTCATGCGTTTGGGTCAATGAATTCATAGACGAAATGAATAAAAATGTGTGGTTACGATTGATCCCATTATTTTGGGGTTTCATTCAATTCATCGGATGGAAAGGTTTTTTTGTGTTTCACCATAGATGGAACATTTCGTAAACTCTTGCCGTTTGCTTTGCATTTTATGTGTGTGTGTGTGTGAATGGCTACGGATTTCATTTGTTTTCCACTCTGCATATTTCTTTCTTTCTCGAAACAAAACGAAAGGCAAAAGCTCACATTTCAAATGCGACGCCATTCGCAACACACACACAAACACATACCACAAAATTGTTGTGTTTACATCGTCAGACAATTTCAATTTACATTTTATTATCGTTATATTGTTGTTATTAATAATAATAAGTATTTTTATTGCTCCGTTTCATTTTCGTCAATTAAGTGTGGACCCATGGTTACTCTTGCATAATTTTTCATGTTCTTCTCCACGCTTTCTCTCCATACCATTACCTTCGCCGTCATCGTTGCCGTCGCTTTTTGTTTTGTCGAAGACACTCTTAGTGCACCAACCGTTATATTCCATTGAATTGGCGGTTTGTTTTTCTGCTTGCTTATTTCTTCGCGAAAGGCTCTTGAACTGTGGGAGAGCATGGATACAATCAACAAATTCTTCGTTGCTGATGGCAGAGTTGTTGGTTGCCGTGTTTCTTCGTCGATTCTTGTCATAGTCGTCGTCGAGGTTAAAATGCTTAGAACGATGACCGACATTCCGGCGCACCACATCGAGCAGACAGCGAGTATTTGTTTTAGATAAACATATGATGCAATTCGGGTAATTGGTCTCCATGTGAACGCAAATCTGTAACACCACCACCACCACCATCAAGTGGTGTGAGAACGACGTTTTTTTTCTTTCGTCTTCTTTTTGCTCATTCTGGCGCTCGCACTTGAATAACCTTTCCATCCACCGTCGTCGTCGTCGTCTAAATGGATTAAAACGCAAACATTTTCCATGGTCGGTTTGGTTTCTTTGTTCGTAATTTAACGCAAATGTGCGAAAAGGAGACGCATCAGATCGCACAGTTGCGTTTGGCACCCAAAGACGCAATTCGTTTTCAACGACAAACAAAGTGTCGATTGGAAGAGATAGAAATAGAATGAGGCATGAGGCAGTGATGAGTGAGGCAGTGTGAGAAAGGATGAGAGGGAATGAGGGAGTTGAAGAAAGAGAGAAAACGGAGAAAAGAGTGAAAATGATAGAAGACCTGGGATAGAGAAAGAGAGAAAGAGAGAAAGAGGGAGAGAGTGCTAGTAGATTGTGAGAAAAATACGGGGAGCGTTGTTTGTTTCGATAGCGCGCGCTTTATTTCGATTTGGTAACGCTAATGTCATTGTCTGGCACCGTGTGTTCAAACGTTCGAACTGAACCCAAAGTGCATTATGTGTATATAGTTTCAGGTGAGCGACACAATTTATTGCTCCCGATGACGAAGAAAACGAAAGAGAACACAAGTAGAAAAAAAAAGCAACAACACACGAGAAGGAACGATAACAACAACACGGGCCCTGTTCGAATATGGAAAAAACGGAGAGCGCGGACGCGCGCATACACAAAAACGAACATGAGCGTGCGTGCGCGCGCCTGTTCGTCCAACCGAACTCGTTTGTCCGCAAAACATACGAAATTGCTCTCATTGACCCCCTCTTTAAGAGCCATTACCCACTATGTAGCTATCAACTTTACCAAACTCCAAATGAAATCGGCTCGATTCAAATGAATGTATTGTACATGTATGTGGTTAAATGTGTGTGTGCGGACGGCTGATTTTTGATATGGCAAATCATGTATAAGCTCTATTCAACACATGCAATCGATTGTTGTTGGCGTTGGAAACGTTGCGCGCCGTTTCTCTGGCAATTGAAGCTTTTAGCTCAGCTGTATCTTTGCTGCTTTTTACTGCTTCTTCATCGTCGTCGTCAACGAGCTCTCATTCTCCACAAACGCACTCATCGATTTGTTCTCTCTCTCTCTCTCGTTGGATTTGCTCGTTCTTTCACTCACAGACACACTAACTGGAAACAAAGAACAAACGCGCGCATATATGGACGGTTGCGTTATCAGTTTTCTCAGTTTTCTTTGATGGCGAAAATTCACCGCGGAAAAAACAGAACATTTTCAACAGAATTGAAAGTGTACGAGAAAGAGAGAGAGAGAGAGAGAGAGAGAGAGAGAGAGAGAGAAAATGCATGAAAAACTCCGGAGCGCAACTTGGCATATTTTATTCAAACCATAATAAATTTTTGAGACAGTTCGCGCTTTTTACCATGTTACGGCCATTTGAAGAATACGAAAAAACTTTAATAAATCAATGAGTTAACTCGTTTGTGCCTAGCGTTGCCATATATAACACAAAATGGTAGGTTATCAGTTGTGTGAAAAATGCACATATAATCGATTGTAAACACGTTTTGTGTTCGTTAAGGATGTGTCTTACTTCCATCAAATTTTCACTTCGATCTGTGCATCATCTGATGTGGATTTTATAGCACCTCCCAAGTTAGAGAAAATAAAAAAAGTGCAAAAAATGGCCATTTGTAAAAAATTCCATTTTGGCCAAAAACAACTTATGCCTATATTTACCACATTTTTCATTTTTTTGAAAATTTCTTTTTGCAGTCGTCTAGTGTTTTTGAGTGTGTTGGCATACATAATTTCAAAATTTGGAACAAAAAAATTTGTCATTGTTTTTTGCCACTAAATCGGATTCAAATTTTTTGCTACCGAGGCCGCTCCTGGCCAAACTAGGCGTCAGACAAAAAAATGGTCGTACATTTTTTTGTTCCGAGGACCATGTAGAATATAAATATTAGTACTAAAATGAAAATAGAAACAAAAATTGTAACCGGCCACAAACGGGTTAATATTAGAAATACATTACATCACATGCATCGCATTTTAAATTGTGCAGTCTCAGCTGAGTGTAATGCAAGTCAGAGTACAGCGATAGCAATAACAAAGGAAATCTGCTGAATGTTTATATGCAAAGCCCCGCTTGCTTGCTTGTTTGCTCGCTTGCTGCAATGTCGGCTCTCTCTCTCTCTCTCTGCTGTGGATTTTCTGTTTTGATTCTGATTGGAAAAAGCTTTTTATGCCGTCGTGTGCATTGTTCCGAGCAATTAGACCGGGGCAATAGCAACACGGTTTATTTGACAGGTATGGAGAGAATTCTGTATCTTGATTGTGGTTTGAAGTGAATTGGTGTTTTTTTTATTCTGTTTTTGTTGTTGTTGCTGTTTATTTATTTCTACATCTCTTGCGTTTTTTTTCCTCGTAGAAAAAGCGGTCGAGACAAGCACAAAAATGACTGATCTGGCCAATAGAGAACAAAATGTATAAATAGATGTGTGGCTATTTGAAATATACATATATATATAAATATATTGTTGATATACACGTACATATCGAGTAAATGAAAAACGAAGATGGAAATAAAAATGCACAGGCAAAGCGAAATACAAACAATAATAAAGCAAGCCATGTCTCTCCCGCTCACAGGCCACACAGACTCAAACACTCACACAACACAATACAATACAAAACACAAAGCACAGTATAACGCAACGCAACGCGCGCGCGATATCTCTCGCTCTTTTTCATTGCATTTGGATACAGGCGCGCACGTGTGTTGATTTTTTATACATATGAGAGAGATTATACAAAAGTGAGCAACTCTGAAAATTGAACAACGACGAAGTAATGAAAAAAAAAGAATATATATCATCAAACAAGCGAGCCAGCAAGCAAGCAAGCAAGCGAACGGACTCGGCTCCGTCACTCTGGGCTGGTGTGTGTGTGTGTGGGTATGTAAAACTCAGTCATACTGCGACCGTCTGTTTGAATATATACACTCAGTTTTGTGTGTTATTCTTTTTATTATATATAATTTTTTTCTCGTTAATTCGCTCTTGCTGTCGCTCTTTCACTCGTCGTCGTCGTTGTTTCAGCTTCGAGCTTGTTTATAATGCTAAAATTCAAAGTAAATCAAAAGCGCACAAAGGATTTCAGTTGTATTTTAGCATTAGTACGGTTGAAAGGGTTCTCTAACGCAACACATAAGGTAAACTTAAGTGAACACAGAATAAAAAGAAAAAACAAAAATCAAAATAAAACCCAACAAGAAGATACGAAAGACAGAAGAAGTACAGAAAAAAAATCGCCTTCAATTGGCTTTGTTTTGGTTTGGTTCGGTATCGTGTCGCTGATGGTGTATGTTTTTTTTTCGTTCTTTTCTCTGATTTGGTCTTAGTGTACAATAAATTCGCTTGGACGTTCTTTCTGTTCGTTGTCGTCGTCGTCGACTTGAAATTCTATCGTGCGTCGTTCGGTGTCTTTGTGCCATTGTTTCTCTCGATGCATTTTTTTCTTTCAAACATTCGCCATCATATTTTCTTTTATCGATATACAAAATTCGATGCGTTCAAGCATTTTGCCGAAACGTAGCAGCAGTTGCAAAATTATTTGTGTGATTTCAATCAAAATTTGTTCAATTGAATCTGCCGAACGCATTTAAAAGCCGCAAACTGGATTTGTGTGTGTGTTTTTTTTCTTTGAATTAGTATTGGAATTCAAATTCATCTCTTGCAAGAGAATAACAAAAGGTTGCATTAAGCAAAAGCAAAAAAAAGAGACACAGTTGCATTGTTTTGGTGTTACAGTTTTGAAAACTGTTGATTGCATTCAGATAATTATTCAAACGGGTAGCAAAGCAAAAAGGGCAATTGAAACGAAAGAAGAAAAAAAACGAGCGACAGGAGTCGAAAAACGAAATAGGAATAGAAAACAGCGGTCGACAGGCGTTATATTTGTTACAAGCCACACACTCTATCCAAAGATAGAAAGCATGTTTTTATCGTCTCGCCTGAAGCCATCAAAAACATATGTTAGCAACGAGAGAGACACAGAATTCACCGTTCCACAGTGCATACTAATTTTCAATTAAAAATGTAAATGTCATGTGTGTGGTGGCAACGCACCAATCCCGTGTTCATACGGTGTGAGAGAACAAGGGATATATACAGAAAGTCGGACAGTGCGATAAAGAAGGAGAAGAGAAAAAAACACATCGAACAGCAGCCGTATTTAGCTGAAATTGTGCTGATACACCGCACTGAACTGAATATAAATGCCAATTTTGAGTGAATCAAGCACCAAAGTGTGGCGATTGATTGTGACGCATTTTCCGAATTCAACGCTGTAAAATGTATAAAAAAGAAGAACACCAAAAACGTTGATTGAAACGCAGTCAATCGATTCAATCAAAATCGATTCGCTTTACGGTCGATGCATGACTTTGAAAATTGCAATGCGCTCAATCGTTGGATTGATAATTTTTTGTTGTGTTCCGTTGTCGGTTTTGTTTTATGGAATAAATGAATGACATGAAGACCACTTGAAACAAACGCACAATATTCTCTCATCTAATGCAATTTTACATTTTTATTTACAGAATACAAGGCTGTGAAAGAGATAAAGCCTTTCAACAAAATCTATACTACATCAAATCGAATCGAAATCATCTCAACGTTTAAAAAAACAGTTATCAACAAAAACACAAATTGAATAAATAATAATAACCAATTTTTATTTATTGAAATCACACAATCGCTAGCTCACTTTCTCTTACTCAGAAAGACAGAGACGCTTTAATTAATTATAATCAAGAAGGGGCAAAACGTGCGCGAAATAAAAAAGAATCGTAATTAAAGCAAACAAAAAAACAAAAAACAAAACAAAATTCAACACACGACCGAACTAATTTATCTCAATGGAAGTCATTTACGAAATATTTTCGCAATCTCAACCGTTCGCATCCGTTATATTTGTAAATAGAATATCAAATTGAACAGCAAACAGCAACAAAAACAAACATAAACTCTCGCCTAGAAAATAACAGCAATTAACACACCGAACTCGCTCAAGACTAAATAGCAACAGCAACAAGAAACAATTTTTAAAATAACTTACAAACGGTCGCCGCCCTCTTCATACACGTCAAATTAAAAGAAGTTCAATACGAATTAAAAAAAAAAAAGTTTTAAAGAAGAAATCAACATAACAACACAAAAAGTCAACAGAAGATTCGATTTATCCTCTCAAAAAAAAAAAAACGAATTATCTCTTAAACACGCTACCGTGCGCCGATTAACAGAAGACAATTACACATCAATCAGGATCACATTAACGGACGGTGATTCTGTGCGATTCATACGACAAATAAAACGAATTACTCTGAATTGAATTAGGTGAGTGCAAGCAAAAGTTTTGTCATTTTTTTTTCTCTTTCTTTCTGTCATTCGATTTCAGTTGCTGGGGCGAGAGATTTTGAAGAAGAAACAAATTAATCCAACAATTTCAATTATTTACACACATTTCCCATGTATCCGGTTCAAATTGGTTTGACGTTAGAAACTAGACTCCCTTATATTGTGGAGTGTGCTATTTGAATGGATAAGGTTGTGTATGTGCTTTCCTTTCTCTTCCCCTTTCTTTTTGTTCGCCCCAGTACACGAATACTTTCCGTACCGTTTGTTGATTTTATTTCATATGCTTTGACTAACTACTGTTTGGGTGAAATTTAATATTCACCACCGTCATAGACATCTATTTAGACATATACGATGAACGAACTTTTTTAAACCACATAATTTCTTTATCAGTCTTCGTACGTATGTTTGATATCATTTTATTTTATTCGATTGATTTGAAAATATTTTCAGTTCAAGTCGATAGAGACACATATTGAAGTTCAGACGCTGACGGGGAACAACGAAACAGTTCCAACAAAATGGTTAAAACATTTCAAGCGTATTTACCGCCATCAAATCGAACATATTCTTGCGTTCACTGCCGGGCACACTTAGCTAGTCACGATGAGCTAATATCGAAGGTAACCGAAATGCACGAAACGAGTGCAGTTTGATTATTGCATTTTTTTTGTTTTCGTTTGTGGTTTTTTGTGTGTGTGTGTATGTGAATGGGGAAAGCTAATAGATTGTTTTGTTGCAGTCGTTTCAAGGTAGCCAAGGAAGAGCCTATCTGTTCAATTCTGTGTAAGTAGTTTCTTTTTACTTTTTGAATTTATGACTCACAAATGAAGTCGGTCCTTTTGCAATTGCATTCTTTTCACTACCGACACTAATTCAAGTATTTTTTGGGTACTCTGTTTTTTTTTTGTTCTCCAAATTTCGTGCTTACGAAAAACAACAGAGTCAATGTGTCTTGTGGTCAAGCCGAAGAACGCCTATTACTAACTGGCTTACATGCGGTAGCCGATATCTACTGTGAATGCTGTAAAACACCGCTTGGCTGGAAATACGTAAGTCAAATGAAATTTCAACGGTTTTTCTACTGAACACTCTTTTGGCTCGTTTCTTTACATATTTTTGTAATTTTTCCGTTGTCGCACCCGTTTTCCCTGCATTTTTCGAATGTCGCGGGTTTTTTTATGCTTTTTCCGACGTTCCATTTAACTCGGTACTTTTTTCAATTTCATTCAATGGTTTTCTTTTTTACAGTATCATTCAAATTTTCGCAATTCGTCTGCCGGCTTTTCTCGCGTTTGTTTAACGAAGTTTTCAAATAATTTATTGCTTTTTATTGATTCGGATAGAAGAAAAAAACTGACGAGTTTATTCATTACGGTTCATTCGATTTTAAAATAGAACTCTTTACGATGACTCTTTTTGAATAATACGTTTATAAATAATTAATGATTTGTTGTATTGATTTTTGGTATTATTGACCGTTTGCTATCAATATTTAATCAGAATATGCATTACTAATTGATCGATTGCTAATTTTAGTGCAATATTTATAATTGTAATGTTTTTTTTTCTTGTTGTAGGAGCACGCATTCGAATCCAGTCAAAAGTATAAAGAAGGAAAATACATCATCGAGTTAGCCCACATGATCAAAGAAAATGGCTGGGATTGATCCATTCATTGAATTTGACCTAAAACAACCCATAACCACACACACACACACACATACATTATATACAAGAATTCAGCTTCACGTTAAGCTTCATCTCTAATTTTATAAGTCCTGATGATGATGATTTTTTTTTAAATTTTAAGATGGATTAATTATATTATATATTGACATTTAGTTAAATCTAATTTTTTTTTTAATTTTTGATCAATAATCAGTTTTTTTGATTGTTTTATTCAAAAACAACATTTTTACAACTAGAAACAGAAGTGGAAGAAAAAGAAGGGAAAAATGGTTTATGATAAAATGAAATAACAGAATGCTATTATAGAAAGTTTCGTCTATCCAAGAGTAGTCATAAACATTAAGTGTGCAGGCGTATTAGGCGAGAAACAGAGACATAAATGGCATAGTTCATATTTAATGGAATAAAAGAAGAAACAAAAACAAAAACAAAAACAAAAATCACTCATGAAAATGAGTAGAGAGAAAAGAAAACAGAAAAATCGAGTAAAAAAAAATGACCGTATTTTTTGGTGTCCGTGCTTTGAAAACAAAAACAATTGTCATTTAATCAAATGTTTACAAGTATAAGAATTTGTGAATTGATGTGTATTCAACTTTCTCACAATTTTCCGGATGGATTCGATAACCAAAAAAAAAACCAACAGAAAGAAAAAAACAAAGTATTTTTATAACAGCGGCGCTTTTTAACAAGAAATACCAAACAAACAAAAATAATGAAAACAGAAAAAAACTAAACTGAAACAAATCCAGAGGCCACAAGCTATTTTTGATGACATAAATTATCCATTGTGATGTGAAATTGATTTACACGAAATAAAAAGAAACAAATTAAAATAACAAATAAAAAAGATAATCGAGACGATTCTCACCGGGAAATGACGAGAAGGTGGAAAATGCATGATTCGTTGTGAATGTGAATGGGAACGGAAATTGTGATTAATTTGAAAAAGTTTAATTTTTCATCGAATAGAAAGAAAAAAAAAAGAAACTAGGAAACAGAAAAAAAAAATATACTATAGAAAAAAAAACTAAACTAAATAAATTAAAAAAAAAAATCGAATAATAATATCGCCAGCGACTGTAACATTTGGCTAAGTAAACGAAAAAATAATTACACATAGATTCATTTTGAAACAAGAAGAGAAAAATGAAATTCAAAAAGAAAAAAAAACTATTCCAAATACGCTCTAAAATCATCATACACAGCCGAATGCATGTCATTCACACACACGAGCCACACTCGACGGCAACAATAAAAACAATCTTTTTCGCAGAATCCCAATAAATATATATACACATACAGTCATGGAAATTTAATTAGGACCGGCATTGAAATTTCAGTTATTTCCCATTAATTCTGTTATTTTACAAAAAAATATTCATGAAATGATGTTTATGAGAATATTTGAAGTTTTTATAAATGGACTAGACTATCAATTTCATTATTTTCGGTAATGGATATCATTTATTGATGAAATTGCCCAAAAACTGCGGGAAAAATAATTAAGACCTTCCATACAAAAAATGACAAATTTTTTCGAAAAATCGGAAAATTTATCATTTGTTTGACAAAATTCACTCCACCGATGGTCGTATTTAATTGAAATACATTTTTTCCACATTACCATTTAATGGATTTCGAATTTCTTAACAAATTCGAAAAGTTACGGACCAAACTAAACTTTATAGCATTTTTTGTATGAAAAATCGTGGAAGAATCATAGTTTGGTCTGTAACTTTTCGAATTTGTTAAGAAATTTGAAATCTATGAAATAGTAATGTGGAAAAAATGTATTTCAATTAAATACGACCATCGGTGGAGTGAATTTTGTCAAACAAATGATAAATTTTCCGATTTTTCGAAAAAATTTGTCATTTTTTGTATGGAAGGTCTTAATTATTTTTCCCGCAGTTTTTGGGCAATTTCATCAATAAATGATATGTATTACCGAAAATAATGAAATTGATAGTCTAGTCCATTTATAAAAACTTCAAATATTCTCATAAACATCATTTCATGAATATTTTTTTGTAAAATAACAGAATTAATGGGAAAAAATTGAAATTTCAATGCCGGTCCTAATTAAATTTCCATGACTGTATATATATATATATTTAGAGACGAAAATGAAAAAAAAATGGAAAAATTTAACCGTATATATCTTCGAAAATGAATTTCTCCCCAACCAAGTTCACAACCTTTTTTTATAGTATATTTAACTGTCGATATTGTGAAACTAATCGAAGATAGGGACGAACAATTTTGAATTTAAACTGAGCAAAACAGAATAATAAAAAAAACACACACACAACAGCAACAAAGTTAAACAACCGGTGATTGTGAAACGTTCGATTCGAATAAAAAAAAATATTGGTTTCTCTTTTTTTTTTTAATAGAGACGAAAAAAAAGAAGATTTTATTTACAAATTTGCTGTGCGATATTATTTTTTGTTGTTGCATGGAATGAGAAGAGTGAAAAAAAAACGCAGAACAAGCTTATTTATTTATATATCTTTAGATTGGTAGCCGTTGTAAAACACAAATTAACTATTTTTTTTTGTTTTTATTTCTTTTTTTTTGTCATATCTTTAAAACAAACAAACAAAAAAACACAAAAAACATGGGAATTTTATACATTTTTCTATATTTAATCGAGTATCTCTTCTTTCGAAATAAAACAAAAAAAAATTACACAACAGATTTTATAAAATGTTTAGTTCCTCTTTCAATCTATATATGGAAAGCAACCGAATGAAGGCAAACGGACATAAAAAAAAACCAATCGGAAAATGAACATTTTTGTTTCTGGGTTATACACGTCATGGAAAAAAAAAACTGAAATCCGAACAAAAATAGAAGAAGCTTTAAAAATTGTACGACGTTCCGTGTTTTATTCACTTGTGTATGTATCTCTATTATTTTCTGTTATCCCAGTTGCATGCAGGCAAACGTCAAAAGCGAATGAATAACAAGCATGAGCTGAAAAAAGAGACGATTTAACTTGACAAAGTTGGCATAATTTTGACACATTTTGAGGACGATGTATGTAAAACTGAGTTAGTGAGTCAACCGAGTATCATCGTCTGTGAGTACACTCCAAAGCTTGTATATCTTTTCGGACGGAAAACCGTTCAAGAGAGGGAAAGAGAGGAAGAAAAAGAGGTAAACAAAAGCGTTGATAGGAAAGAACGTGAGGCACAACACAGCAAGAATAATCAAGAGAGCGAGAGAGAAATCGAGAGGGGTCGATAGAGGAGAGCAGTTCATGCATAAAATGTGCTGTCTTATGAAGAAATGTAATTTTTATTAGCCGTCAACGAATTTGACTGGTTCATTGTTTAGTGAGAACAGTGTTCCGTCCTGATCAGTCTGACCGACTAACCAATCGACCGATTCACAATGAATTTTCGAGTGCCTGCTGTAATTGAATTGTGTGGCTCTTTAAATGCATCGCGTGTTGAAATTTTAGATCTTTATACTTCTCTCTGTTGTGTATTTCGGTTCACCCACAGCCAAACGGTTTGTTTGTTTATTTTGCATTGAATGCAATCCGACAGCTAAGCGAACGAATGCAGTCGACGGAGTGTGCGATGTGCATATATGCTTTTCATGCTGCAGCAGCGGTAGTTGCAGCGGCGGTGGCAACAGCAACGACTACCATAATAACGTAAGTATTATTGCGTAATGCACTTAATTTATTCATATATTTATGCTAGACGTACAATAATTAAAACGCGAAGAAAATCTCAGTAAAGCTACCTTTTGCAGCATGACACCAATTTGTTGCAATAATACTACAGTGCTGGTGCTGTTGCTTGGTTTCCCACATTCGCCGTCGCATTTTGAATAAAATACCAAAACATAGCAAACGAATCGAAAAGCATAATTCATCTTAAGTTATGGCGCTTTAATGCCTTAACATGCGTAATTTATTTCATTTTTAATATTTACAATTATTTTTTTCGTTTTTTTTTTCAGCTAAGTTATGATGAATTATGCATTTTTCGCATGATTTCTTGTAGCGATTCATCGTCATCAACATGGTCGTTATTTGGTGCACAGACACGCGCTCTTCGCTCACTATTAAAAATGTTAACCATTTGTATCATGCAACATCAACCCTTGACGACTAGTACCTATGTGTGTTTGTGTGACGCTTTTTCTTCTTCGTCTTCTTCACTCTGATTTCGTATGAAAATTATTTCGTTTTCGAATCAAATTTAACATAATAATTGCATTTCACATTTCATGCACAAATCCGAATAGACAGCACTCGAACGGGGAAAAAAACATTGCATTTTCCTTTGTTTTTGGTTACTGTTGCTGTTGCTGTTGTTTTTGTTGCTTTCTTGCAAAATTGGGTCATTTTTATTCTCAACGGCGTCGTGTGTAAACAAAAGCTGCCAATCTGCTGTTCTGTCTACTTTTTTCGTCTATTATTCCCAGTGTGTGTGTGTGTGTGTGTGTGTGTTGTTGTTGTTAGGCGCCAACGCCATGCATGTCACTTGCTTTTGAAGCCAAAAATCCATCGAACGAAATGACGACATATAACGCATTCAAATGACTTAAATCAGAGCGAAAATGATATGCAGTTAGATAAAACATTTGCATGAATGAAATTGGCGCTGTTAAGTAATCGTAGAAATTATATAAAAAAACAAACAACGAAACAGCTGAAAACAAAACTGTTCAAATGCGGCGTCAAAAGCGGAAATGAAATGCAATACATTTCCTATTCAATGAAAACACTCAAAACATTCTTACCCTTTGATTTTGGGTTGCAACCAAATCAATATTATCATCAATCTTTATTTGAAAAAAAAGGGAAGCAAAACTCAAATTTATACCAAAACAAAGTGTGTGTGAAAGAGAGAGAGAGAGAGAGAGAGAGAGAGAGAATTAACACAAAATAAAATGCTGGCTGTTTTTTTCTTCGTTTTAAAACGACTTTGATTCAAGATCGCTGAAGTACTCTCAAAAATGCAAATGCAGTCTTGAAATTTAGGCCAGAGCACAAGATTGTTGAAATAATTCGGAGCTTAGTGAAAATCAACATAATTACAACGAGATTTATTACAAATAATCACACAAACACTAACACACGCAGCGTGGCGTCCAGTTTTTTCTCTTCTATTCATTGCTTAAAGTTTTCTAAGTCGGGCCGAGTCAGTTGGTAAGCTTTCCGCGTCTGGATTCGAAGTTGTGGTCGGCGGGAAAGGAAAAGCCCTGGATGGCTTGGGATATTGGTAACCATCAAAGTCCTCGATGTCATCGCTGTAAAAATGGGGCGGGAAAATAGTTGTAGATTTAGTACGCTATTGGGAAATGATTAAATTAATCAAATAATTCGATTGGCTCCTCTTCCTCTTGAAAATGTCCCTTGTCGAAATATTTTCAAACTCGATCAATTTCAAAAACTTCACCACATACTCAGACAGGTTAATTTGTTTTCCGAAATATTCAAACAAAAAGTGTTTGATAGCAGGGAGAAGAGGAAATCGGAAATGGTTGGTAGAAAATCGAATTTCATGAGATAATTACTTCTTCGGTGGCACGGTGTTTGTGTGAATATTTGTGCTTTCCGGAATTTGTGGGGTGCCTAGTTCGAATGGGGTCTTGGGCTTAGGATAATAGTATGCTTGACGTTCATCGGATTCATCGGATTCGGGTAAATTGTTGTCGGTTGCACTGATGGCATTGTCACGTGCTGGATTTCGGCCGCTTGGCTTTTGCGAATTCCGTTTACCCACTTCACTACCATCGGGCTTATTGAGGAATTCTTTTGTCAGTATGCTAAAGCTATTTGAGTTCTCGGGTGACGTGGACGATGTCGTCGACGGAAATGTTTTTATACCATCTATACTCGAAACATCAGCATGAACTGAATGCCATCAAATCACAAATGAAAAAAAAGAACAGAAAAATCATCAATTGATCGCTGGAAATTTTATCGGCGTTTCTTATGAAAAAAGAAAAAAAAACATTGCAATTTTTGAATGAAAATCCGTTTTTTTTCTTGCATTTTCGAAAAAAAAAAACCGAAGGTTTTGTTTGAACAAAAATTGGCTTCTTTCGTATAAATTTGCAGTTTTTTTTGTTTTTCATTTTTTCCACATTTTGTGCATTGGAAAATTTTCATTATTCTTCTCTTTGTAATGAAAACGTAGCATTTTCGACTTTTCCCTGGAAATGTTGTATTTTTTCCATTCGATGAAAAAAAAAAATGCATTTTCTACACAACACAAACGGACATTTCTACACTTACCGTCAACAAATAAGACGTTGCACACCACAAATAAAACAATAGCACAGTGGTTCATTGTGATTTGAAGTTTTGGATCCATTGTTATGATTACCAGGCTGATATCGAACTGAAACTGGTCTTAAATTATGATTCTAACACTTTTGATAGTTGTATGTTTATTTCAATTGCATTTGTCGTTTTTAATTTGTTTGTTTGTTTTCTTTTTGTTTTGTGTGATAAACTGATCACTCGATTACGATTTGATCATAATAGAATGTGGCTGTGTGTGTGTGTGTGTACGCGCACCTAAAACAATAGATTGACTCGCGAAAACAGTAAGAAAACTAACGAACGAAAGCAAACGGAAAAACAGAAACGCACTGCAAAGCTACCTGCACTACCAGCGTCAAGAGTAAATGTATGTTGATTGAATTGAAGTAAAATTATGTTGAATTGCGCTAACGATGTGATCGTTTTATATACGAAAAATGTGTTCAAGCTCCCCACAATTGTACCGTATGAAGTACTGCGTAAGATGTAGTAAATTGATTTTTTTTTTCTTCTGTAATTTATTTCCATCTCTTGACTTATTTATTTTGCATTCAGTTCTCTCTCTTTCGGGTGTACAACACAACATACTTATTATTATTGGCTCGGTTTAACTGTTGCGCGTGCGCGCGTAGTTCTGCTATTTTTCATATAAAACACTCGAAATATGGGTATTTGGTTTGGTAAACAAATGAATGAAGGCAAAAAAAAAAACAACAGCAACAGCAACGAGCGGGTGCGCAATGAAGAGCGCTGAAGCGCACACGCTCGTTCATTGCTCATCTTCGCCACATTAATTGATACTAGAAATTAGATTTTGCAAACGTCTGAAGATGGTGTCAATGATGATGATGACGATGATGATGCACTTAAACCAAACAACAACAACAACAGCAGCACAATTGACATGTACTTATGTTTTCGAGCAGAAAAATGTTATTGCTCGGCTGCTTCTTACTCTGTAATGCCACACAGTTTGAACAAACACGACCAGAGCGAGATCGAGCGCCGCATGTAACATCAGGGACGTTAAAAATTGTTCACGAGAAGAGGAAAAAAATGAACAACAAGATGAAGAAGCCAGGCATCAGACACAGAAAAAAATGCACCAATCCACCGCGATGGAAGTGGCTAGACAGAGACAACAATGTTGTGTTTGCGATTCATTCGGTCGATATAGAAAATCCTCATTCAGAAAACGCAAAGAATTAAATCGTTAATGTGTGTATTGCACCACATGTTGTTGTGTGCCGCTCTTTTTTTGCTGCAGCAGCAACCGCTGCTGTTGTGACGGCTATTGTGGCTCTCTGTTTGTCCAATCAGAGTGTTCAGACCGTTGTGTGTTTTTGCGGTGAGTTTAGCGGCGTTTAGCACGTACCCGAGATAGTGGTCAAATATGAGTAATAAATTAACATAGTTCATCAATAGTTGATTCAATTAAAGAAAATGAACAACGACAGCAGCAGTAATAGAAGCAAAAAAAAACGGTTTTCTGAATGGCACAATAATAGCAAGCATAATGAAAATCGCCACACCAATTCAACCTTGTTATTACCGTTGCCGTCGTCGTCGCCGCCGCCGTAGTCGTCGTAGTCGTCGTCGCCTTAGTCGTCGCAATTGTTGCCGTAGTGCACAAACCCTCCAAATGTGTGGTGATTGCAATCAAAATGACCCAAATAAAACACACAGCACTGAAATACGATGAGCTCTCTTCGCTTTGTACATATAAAGATATTTATATATTCTTGAACGAAAAGAGGAGAGCGAAAGAAAAAAAATGGGTGACATAAATTTTGAGAGCAGTCGCTTTGAGAGTATCATCAACCACTGGAAAATTGCAAGTAAGCTCTCGATTGAGAAATGGGTGCGCGCGAGCGCGCGTGTGTGTGTGTGTGTGAGTGTGGTGCACTTTGACAAGACACTTTGTTGACACGATGACTGCGATGCGATGATTTGCATCATTTCATACGGTAACGAATGGCAACAACAGCACGAACAAAAAGTGCTATTCGCGGTAATGTGCGTGATGCTATTCAGGCGAATACAAACAGCATAAATAATCACCTTTTTTGGGTCAGTTTCGTGAATTAATAACGGCTGTTTTATGAATCGTTGTTACCTTTTTTGTTTGTCTCTTCTCTCTCTCCCTGTCCCTCCCTCTCTCCCTCTCACTGGCAGTGTCCGTTTTTCTACATTTTGCAGAGACATTAATCAGAACGTTTTTCAAAGAATTAGACAAGCGCACCGTGGAGAAGCACAAAAAAAAACTTCGCAATTACAAAAACAACTTTGCCTCGCACCCAGCACGAAAATCTATATGTTAATGAGCCGAGATGATCCAAAATCTATCTCGCATGTTAATCAATGGTTCAATGCGTCAAATGGGTTTGTCAAGAGCACAGCCAAAGTTCATCATCAATTCACACTCATTGGCCGATATATTTCTGAATAAACAAACCGACACAGATGTTTTCACAGTTTTTGTTTTCGACACAATCTCTTGCAATCCATCTCTATGCGAAACAATAATAACGATAATTCGATCGAAAAGGTTCAGAGGCCATGGTGCTTCAGATCCATCTATATGCTCTACAAAAATCACACTTCATTTGAAATTGAAATAAAAGATCGACAACAATAACAAGACAAACAAATATTCGGCAAGAAAGCAGCACACACACACACACACAAAAATAAATACAACACAAAATTTAGCTTAACGAGTATTATTTATTTCGTTCAGTTGTTGGCTAATATTAGATAATCACATCAAAAATATATAAATCTCTCACATTACACATGCACACACACACATACATACACTCTCTATTGCCTCTGTATATCCCATTCCATGAACCGAAAAAAAAGCTTCGGTTTTCAAATTGTAACACGTTAATTTACGATGTGACGGTTTTTAATTCATATGCAAATTGTTATCTCTTCAACAGCTTTTTTCCACCTTTTTATTGGTTGTCTGAAATAATACACATCGAAATGCGATGAGGAAAAAAAACGCGCTATTCAAAATTCTCTGCTATTGACATTTGAATCTACTGGTGTATGGCATGAACACACAACATAGCTTTGCATGATTTACACGAGCTCTTTTGAGCAAACGAACGAGGAAAAAAAATGGAATATTTAAAACTGGCGGCAAACGTGACCCGACAACATGGGATGGATATGGCAATGCGTGCGTCAAATATGTCTAAATCTCTGCGATTTTGTTTTCCGTCATTTGGTCGTCATTCCATCATCCATTCTAATCAATTATGCGTATGTGTTACTAATTCTGATCGGAGTGTGCGCTTTTTTTCTTCATTTCTTTTTCTCCAAATTCCTATGTTACTTATTTTTTTGTCCCATTTTTTCTCGTTTCATTAGTTCTGCTGTTGATATTTGTAAAAAAATTATGACCCAATTATGAATCTGATTAGTTTTGTTGATTGTCATATGGCGTTAAAATACCAGGTGGTGCGCCAAAACTGCCAGTATATTTGGTATTTATATTTGATTGACTTTGTTGCTGTTGTGGTCGCTGTTGTTGAGCACCACCCTGAACATTGGCTTGAATCACGAATGCTTTGGCTGGTTTTTTGTAATCAAATGGCGAGTCGGCAAGTGAAGACTGTGCAGCATTTGGAGCCGGTCTTCTTGTTGTCGTCGCCGTCGCCGTCGCCGTCGCCGTCGTTGAAGGAGCTGCAGCGGCTGAGCCTGAAAATGGAGCAGTAAATGGATTCAAATCCAATTGTGGCAAGAATTCACTTGGCTTTGACTCCTTAGTTGGTTTATCCGTGCTTGGTTTTGTATTCACAGTGGTAACGGGTGGAAGTAAATCATCGCTGGGCAAACTGATTGCTGGTGATTTATGCACGGTCACACTGGATGTTGCCATGTCCACAGGTGGTAACAATTCTTGATTGAGCTTGTTAACGACGGGCGAAGGTTGATTTTGTCGCGTTACAAATGCATTCGTTGTTGGTGGCAATGTCGGTGGGAATGTTGTGACTCGTACTGGAGCTCTCGTTGTTGTCGTCGTTGGTGCTTGGGTTAGTGGTAATGTTGTTAAAGTTTTTGCGGTTGTTTGAGTTTTTGTGGTTTGAAATGCGGCTGGAAATTTGGTTGATTCACCATCACGGAATGGTGGCAACACATTGACTTCAGGAACTTGAATCACAAGACCACTTGGAGCATTTGGCAGTCGATTTATGACCGGTTGCTTTGTCGTTGTCGTTTGAGTCACGCCAATTTTATTATTATTGAAACCATTGAACGTGGTGCTTTGTGTGACTGGGCTTGAGCTTTTCTGGGCGAATTTATTGAAGGTGGTCGTGAAGGGACTGAATGTTGTTGTTGGCGGGAATGTGTTGAACTGTGTGGATTTTGGTGCATTTGTCGGCTGGAACGTGTTAAATTGGGTCGGCTGTGGCCCAGATGTTGGTTTGGATGTATTGAACTGTGTAGATTTTTTCGCAGCCGTCGGTTGGAATGTGTTGAATTGCGTTGATTTTGGTCCATGCGTGAATTGATCTCTAGGAGCCAAAGTCGTAGTGATCGGCAATCGATCTCGAACTCCGCCGCCAATGACTTTCTGGCCAATCGGTTGAGTGGTGGTATCAAATAGAAAATTGGTCGTCGTCGCCACTTGAACTGGAGTCGTATGTGAAAGGAATGGATTGGTCACCGATGGTTCAAATGGTTTTGGATTTTGTTTTGGGATTTGTGCAAATGGTGTTGTTTGTTGAAGCCAAGCATTATTCGTGAAATTGGTCGATGCTGTTGAAATAGTAGTTGGCTTTTCGAATGATTTCAATTTGCTGGACGGAATTGCTCTAGTAAATTGTGTGGTTGTGAATGGATTACGGAATTGATTACGGAATTCAGGCGGAAGTGCTTGTGAATCGATCGAGCCATCGGCCTTGATAGCGTACCCCGGTTTCTGATTGCCGAGAACTTCATCTCTGGCACTATCAAATCCAAATGCAGGCACTGTGGTGACCTTTTCAAAATTACTTATGAAAGCGGTTGTGCTTTTAAGCGTGGTCGTTGATGTTTGAACGGGTGTCGTTACTTTTGTGCCGAATTGGATCGGTGCTTGTGCAATAGTTGCTATCTGTGTGAATACACTTCGTTTTGGTTGATTGGTCGTGGTGCCTCGTGCATTTGCATTGAAATTTGATCGCGGTGTAACTGGCGATGCGCCAAAGCGTTGTTGCGTAACCGGTGACAGTGTTGTTGTTTCTGCATCGAACGAGTTCAAGGCCGTTGTTGGGATTCCTCTGAATACAGCCCAACCACTTGGTTGTGTCACCGCTCCATTTGCTTGTTCAATGGGTGGCTGTAAAAGTTCGGATGGTGTCGTCAATTTTGGTGATGGCACGGTCGGTATCTTTTCTAAAATGCCACTGGCATAGCTTGGTATAACAAACGGAATCGTTGTTTCGAAATTCGGTTTTGTCGTTTCAAAATTTGCTTGCGTAGTAACACTGTTCTTGCTATTGAATGTAAACCCAGTGGTTGTGATCAATGGTTTTTGGTGATTTTTTTCATTTTGCTCGAAATTCGTTTGGACAAATGCACCACTGTTAATCGATCGGCCGGTGGGAGTGCCTATTGCTCCTTCAATCACATTTTGAAAATAAATTGGTATTTTTTTAGTTTCGATCGTTTTTTTTTTTTGAAAAATAGTCATAAAAACACCAAAAATATTACCTGCTAATAAAGGATTTTGTGCCAAACAGTGGCCCATAAACAGGCCCACAATAATTGGAAGCACAATAGATAATCGGAAATATTCACCCATTTTTCAAAAGTTTCAACCGTTTTTCGCCGATATTTCAAGTGTCCTTTTAGAAAAATCGTTGCTATGAAACGACTCAATATATTAACATTGACGTCACTCCCCCCGAGAAAAAAAAGTTAACGTTCTCTACAAGATGCGTTCTTGATTTGATCTGATTTTCTGTGTAGCGCTGTGTTTTAAGATTCCAATTTGATTGTGGTGTGTTTGTTGTTTTTGTTGCTGTTGTTGTTAATGTTCCTTTTTTGATTGGATTTGAAGTGCGGCGCGCCAACAGTGGGCAATTAGCAACTTTATCTATCTGAATATCATCGAATACTGGATGGTATCGGTTTTTATCTTAACGCTCGTTGATATTTCTGCGACTGAGATCTCGCAGTCGTCACACATTTATTTATGTTTTTGTTGCTGTTGTTCGTTGTTGTATACTGGTTTTGTTTCTTTTTTTCGTGAGTAATTCGAATGCAAAATCCAATACCCAAAACCGAGAGTGCGATCAATAAAATATTTATTAGTTGGTGTGACTGCTGTGGCTACGGCTGCTTCATCCCTACTCATTGTGTGTTGGGAGAGCTAGAGAGCCATACAAATGATTCAATGTGTGTCCAAAGAAAACTGATCATCAAATCACGTGACATAACAGCCAGGCGGGTGCGCAGCGTGTTCGTTCGCGTACACAGCCTGTATTCTGGTGGCACAGAAAGAAATATTTACATGTTTCAGCTCATTGAATCCATTGGTCGATTCGTGCGTATTTTACCTAGGTAAGTGTACACTGTACATACAAATTATCCGATGTATAAACACCGATTTAATGAACTTTTTCAAGGGTTGGCAATGGCAAGAGAGAACATATAGCAACAACAACAACATCAGCATCAGCAGAAACGACGACGACGACGGCAGTGGCGTCAGAGGCGGCAACAGCAGCAGCCTCAGTGATCAAGGCAAAGAAATTACAAGTAATGACACAAAAATAGCGCGAGAGAATAAGTAAAGAGATTCGCCGATTTCAACAATTGCGTCGTTTACTTATTGAAAATTGGCGCCTTTTTTTATATAGGTGCGGAGAGTGAGATCAAGTCACCAGAGTCAATATGTGTGTTGATCGATCGATTTAAATGGACGTTTTTTTTTAAATGGCAGACAGTGGCCTTTATTACGGCCACATTCAGAATAATTGCTTGACGCGCGAATATGATCGCCTCCTCTCGGCGACGAGTGATTTATGAGCTAGTGAATTATGAATATCCGCATGCAGTGTGCCAGCAATTTCCGTTTGTAAAATCAACAAAACGACAAGCGAGATAGGGAGACGAATATGAAGAAGTGGATAGAAGAAAAAAAATGACGACACTCGACACATGGAATATTTATGGCATAAAATTGATTCTAAACACGCTCACGAATTCCGTTGGATGTTGCATAAATTATTGAGCAGAAAAAATGTTTTTGATGCAACTGCTAAATACAGAAACCGGTGCAAGATCTTCTCTCGCCGCCACTAAAAAAAAACGAACGCTGAGAGAACGATGCAAAAAAACCACTGCTATTGCTGTTGCTGCTGCTGCTGCTGCTGCCGCCGGAGGTGGCACGAAACCAGAAGTGAACAAAAAAAACGTGCTTCATTAATCCATTGAATTTATGCGACAAGTGACGTGTGTTTGATTGCTCATCATCATCTCATCATGATGGCAACAATGTCTGGCAACCGTCGATCGATTATTATTAACATGTTTATTCTTTTGCTTTGCGTTGCTCTGTGTATTTTTCATTTTGCGTGACGATCGATCGTTGTTAGGTTAGTTGGCCAAACTTGCACATTCATTACTTTCATTCGGATGCTTTCATGGTTTGTCCACATTTTGTGTGCTAACGTGCTGTGCTATCTTCTGATATGCTATGCGAAAAATCATTCCCAATGGGTTTTTTTCTTGTTCACTTAAAAAGGTGACAGAGGTCGATGCGTAATCGTTATTGAGCATTGAAAACGCAAAACAAAAAACCAGCCGCTCATATAAAAACTCCTCAACTAATCTCACCTACTTATTCTTTATATGAGGTTAACATACAGATACATCTCCTTCTCTTTCTGTCTCTCTCTCTCTCTCACTCACCGTGCCAGCCTCAATATTCTCGTGTGCTTTTTATCGCAATTTTCGATCATCACCGGGGTTTTCCAATATTTAAATATTTAAATATTTAAAAGCACATCATTGCCGTTGTCACTGTCATTGTTCACGCCAACGAAAAAAAAATCAACAATACGACATAATATTATTCTTGTGAAATTTGATATTGCTCGCTATTAGCTTGATGTTGATTGACCACAAAAATGGTGCGTAATAAAAATGTTTTGTTTGCAAGAGATAAAGTAACAGACAAACGAGCGTTCAAATACATTCGCACGCACCAAAAATACAAGAAGAAAGAAATCAAAAAAGCTGATATACGAAAGAAGAAGAAGAAAAAGAAGGATGAGGAAAAAAATGGCAAATCGGCGTCGTACATTACACATATATATGTTCACATCTATTATCGCTAGCCATACAATTGTGTTTAGTTGACGCTTCTTTCTTTTGGCTATAAACCATCATCGCCTAGCTGTTTTGTGATTAAGCGACAGCAACGACGACAACAACGAAGGCGAACAACCGTATGCGATCACAGCGTTTGCTGTCCAAAAAACTTGTGTATATACACAATTTACCACAAATACAAGCTTGATCGACCCGTTTCGTCGATGTTTACCGATTAGTCTCATGCATATCTTCTTCTCTGTGCGTGACTTTTGTGGTATTGTGTCGATGATTTGCACAGCAAAACCTGCCCACATTGGCCCAATAGTCAAAAACAAATGGCTCCCATACACATATAGAATATTTGGCATGCGTATCTTTTCAATTCCGTTCAAAACATTTTTCGTCCAAATCGGAGAAGCACTTGGCACGCTCGTTGGGTTTTTTTTTCTCTGTATAATTGTTGTTTTGATTGTGCTGGTTTGACTGTGGATTTTTCCGGTCTTTTGTGTTTTTTACATTTTTGATACTTTGTCATTTCATTATAAATATCTTTAGAAGAATTATTCTTACTCAGTTGCTGTCATTCCGCATTGTCGTCTGACATACCCACATATAAACGACGAACATACGAAACGAATTATTTTTTTTCTTCGTTCAAATCGATATTCCTGTACACATCGAAATTATTGTGGAAATATAAACGCATTATTTTAAATTGGTTAAACAAAAAATAAAAAATAAAAATAACAATGAAGTACTTATCGGTTATTGCTGTTTTCTGTTTCATTGCCATCGTTGCCGCGGGTAAGAAGTTCATAAAGTCTCTTTATTTTTTTTTTTTTTGGTTTGGTTTGGTTGTAATTTAGCCGAAGGGCTTTTAACAAGTGTCATCCATTGCATTCTCCGTAAAAAAAAAACCGAATCGTTCCTTGAACTTGATTTTTTCATCTCCAGAATGAAATCCAACGTTTGTTTTTCAGTGTAATCAAATTTAGAAGAATCGCATTTTTTGTGTTGATTTTCACAACTAATTTCGAATTGGACAAGAAAACAATTATTTGTTTTTTGTTTGAACGAAAGAGGAGAAAAAATGGCTCATACGGCATTTTGTGAAATGTTTTAAATTAAAACGTTCAGCGACTTCTCCGAATTCGTTACGGTAAATTTGAATAGATAGACTGGTTCTTATATGCCCAGTTTGATTAGCATAGCAATATGATTAACCTTCACCATATCTCTTGATATTATTTTTTTGTATTGACTTCTTAAATTTTTTTTTCTTCGGTGTATTGGATTGTGTTACAATTCTAGAATGATTCTATGTTGTTGTTTTGTTTTTGCCCATTGTGAATGATAAGGTGAGGGTTAATCGATTAGAAAAAAACCTTGGGCACATTACGTAAATTGATATTGGCCCGAAAATGTCGATCGAAACATCCAATTCGGAACATTTCAACATTTTCGCAAACCACATGCCGTCGCCGCTGCCACCGCCAACGATACCGTCTGAGAAATACTGAAATAATAATGGAAATTGACATGAAATTCGTTTTTTTTCGGTGTGTTTGAATGCAAAATTATTATAATGATGATCTGGGCATACATTATAGTGTCGGACGCGCGTCGTACATTTTTTGATTATTTCTATATATATATATATTTCCCCATCTGGTTGTTATTGTCAATAACCAGTCAGACCGCATCAGTCCAACTTATCGCACTCACTCTATTATCATCATCGGGCAGTAGCGTCGTCAAATTCTGCTGCTTTTTCGGTTCATTAAAAGTCAAACCTTAAGGTCCATACACAGTTCCGCGTGAAATGAAAAAATTTCTCCGGTGAAATTTTCACCAGTGATCTTTG